TATTATTTACAAAATATAAACGTCTCGACGATTTGTCTACTATGGGAAAATGATTCGCATCGAATATTAATGTTTGCTATGATATCACTGTCATCTATACATGTCTCAACTATGTCGCGTCTCCGTTGTAGTAGGATTTTTTTAGGAAAAAATCATTTAATTTTAAAAATCTGTCAATATGAAGCAAGGTATTAACGTTAAAAATAGTAGATGGAACAAATAATTTTTTTTATTTTTAAATCGATTCCATTTTTCAAGAATTCCATGACCTTTTATTTTGTTCTTCACTTCTACTAATTTTCTGTAATAATTATCTGTCAACAATTGAAAAAAGTTGTTAGGGGCATAAATTCCTTACAAAACTAAATTATTTATTTTTGGATGATTTTTTTTAGTAATTAATGAAAAAAATGTTGTAGATATCCAACAAATTTTCAGCCACTCACTATAAAAAATGTGTACAAAAAATTAATGGTTGGCTTGAGTTTAATATATTTCACAAAGTTTAGGTAACCTATTTTTTTTTTTTTATTATAGCAGTATACAAATAGTTTGCATACTCGGACATGAAATTTTTAAACAAATAATAACTGATAACAGACTTGTATTCAATTGCAATCGGTCGAGCGATTAATAAATCGGTATGATTCGTATATTTTGCCTAGTAATCTTTTGATAACTATTATGAAAAATTCTATTAAATAGAAATTATTTAACAGGTTATAATGTTTTATCAAACATTTTTTTAATTACTTAAATAGATTATCAAGTTTTCAAATTTATAAAGACTTCAGTAAACAATCATTAATATTTTAATTATTTAAAATGGTTGATTTACATGATGAAAATCAAACAACCACCCACCCAATTTGGGCTCAGGTGCCTTAGTGTATCTTAGGGATTGGCGCTACTGTAATTAGGGGAAACAATGTTCGATCAGAAAAATATTAAAACTTATAGAATAATCAATTTATACCGATATATTTATTTTTTTATAATTTATTAGAAAACTAGTAAATTATAAACTATCCAAAAATTGTATTAAACTCGTGTCAGTTCTGATGGAATAACTCGAATGACATTAATATTTTTATTGATAAAAACTATAGATAATTAAACTATTGTAATGACAAAATAAATTAATTGAATTAAATTTAAATGTTTTTTTTAAAGCGTCAATAACTATATAGAGTATAAATATATATGCTCTACATTATTATTGAATAATTTGTCTATCATTTTACAATATTTCTCATGTTAATATAGCTATAAGTTGCATTATTAAAGTAGTATTCAGAATAATTTATTAACCCGTTATCTTAATTACACTTAACGCCAAAAAGGAAATAAAGTTTAATTACTAAAAACTTAATTGAGTTAAATACAAATGAAATGTCTCATAAAATAAAGCTTATAAAGAATTTTATGCCTCATAATGAATTAAGAGAACAGTCAAGAATAATTAGTATTAAATTTTCCTTGGTATATGGCACTTAAATGAAATTACAAATATTATTAACAGTGATCATTTGTTATACATGTCTAATTGACTAAGCCAAGTATTATATATATTTTTTTTATCATTTTCCTAAGGGAAATGGATTAATTTATTACCTATTTTTATTATAACGTAGACCAAACTTTTAAGTCACCTTGTTATGTTCGCATGTGACATAGTTTTCATTCATGTTACACTGCTTCACTTCTAGAATCGTATAAGTGTCATTAAATAAGAGTATCAATAGATGCCTGTACGTGTTCGACGAGATTGTAAACTAGACCAACAAGAAAAACACATTTTGGTCGATGCCTTTTTTTGCGTGCGCGTTAAATGAAATAGATGATAACAGAATTCACTGAGCTTTTAAAATGAGAAAAAACTATAAACCACCTTAATGTTTATGGCAATGGAAAAAAGACGTTTCTGTGATAGGTTTTGTCCTTATTTCTTCGTTTCTTTATCCGTCTTATATTCATGGCACATGTACAAACGCTCAAACGAGTTATGTCAATCAATCTCCATTTTTCTTTCAATGCTCATGTACCGCCGACAATGTTTAAACCTTAAAGAATTCGTGGCCAATAAATACAAACCGAAGCCTAGACTGAGTAGGACACGTGTAAAAATTATTACACGAAACTAAGAAAAAAATCACTTTAATTCTTAAAAGCTGAAACGTTGAGATTTTCAATTTATTTTCAACTCCAAGGTTTCCAATTAAAAAAAATAAAATAAAACTTTTGTACGTCAATATCTATTTACTATTTCAAATATATGCGTTTATTAAATGTCATGTGCAACTTATTGAACAGTTGAAAAGTTGTCATTTTATTTTATCGACATTATTTCCTCGCCAACATAATGCAATATCTCGACTTGAACGTTATTCTAAAATAAATAAAACAAACGGGCTCAATTTTATAATAATTAATTTTTGAAAATCCATAATTAATTCTCTTTAATTTAATATTGCGAGCCTGCGCGTTGTAAGATTTAAAAGAAAACTTTTTATCTTTTGGGCAAAGTTTAACAGCATAGTTGGAAAAATATAAACGATGAAATAATGTAATCACGAAGACTTATGAATTGATTTAATAAAACAACCAACTCTTTGATTATTCGCTTTATTGTTTTCTTTTGTTAGTTTATTAAAAATATTTATAAATTCAATCAACGTTTTCATTTTAATATTATGCAATGACCAACAATTAATTATTGAAATATCCAGTTTTACGTTTGATACATTATGTAATAGAAATATCTGTTACATTTTATGAAGCCACAGCGGTTCTATAAAACTTAAAAAAACTTTTTCGAGGTAAGTCTCGTGGATTTAACATAAAAACTCACTGAGCCTCCAGCACGTACGCTTCCATAATAGTATATACACACACACACACACACACACACACACACACATATATATATATATATAACATGTATATATGTAAGTACATGGACATGGTACGCTTATTATGTATGATATACACTTGCTCGCGCTATTCCGAGTTAAACAAGAGTCGTACAAAGGTTGACTGCTAAACGTTTACACGTAATTATATTTAGACAGTGTTTCGAGTCACGTAAGTGCTATTCCCTTGTTCGGCCGACACAAAACGTGTTCATACGCTGTGTAACGTCCAAAAAAGCAACAATTTTTGCCTTTGGATGTGAACATCGTGCCGAAGAATTGTAACAAAAACAACACCATTCGCACGAAAAATGTATCAAAAGTAAAATGTCGAACCGAGTTTTCTAAAGGAAAATAAACCGCCGGCAGACCGTATACGTGAAAGGATTTTTATTACAAACTTTTCCCGTCCAATCTCTTCATCTATCCATTTTATCTACTCGCCTATTCAATAAGCTCTACGCTTACTCGCTCTCGGCTATCAAATCACTATGTGTTCTTCTGCAGCATACAAAGCACGTCCTGTCAACGTGGCGACCGCAGTGGTTTGTACATAAAAACCATCGCGTATTCATTTGATTATAAAGACACGCTGGTCAATTGACTTGAGCGTACAAAGGATCAATAGGCAAATTATTAGTGCGGCCCGTGTAAGTCGACACAGCCGTTTGTAATGACACTCGACCGCCAAAAATGTTTAGCGATGAACAAGCGGCGTGATGAAGTAATTTAACTTTATTGATTTTCGAGTTTATTTCTTTGTGTTCTTAACCATTTTTTATGAATTGTGACAATAATACTTGATTCGAAGGCCGTGCCGCGATTTCTCTTAAATGTAATGATAAATACCGTCTATTGACCTTATTATATAACAATTTTTCGGTGCACGTGTATGACATCTGTTGGAATACAGAAATCATATATCCGTGTGTGTTTAACAGTGGTGTTATTTATTTTTATAGACAATCCAATATTAATGGCAAACTACCACTAAAAAATCACACTTTTCACATATTATTCTATTCACTTTTGAATGTAGAAAAAACCATTAAATCGTATCAAAGTAATGAACAATACTTAAAAACTAAATACCTTTACTTATAACAACTACGATGTTTAATAAAAATACAAACCTTATAAATAATATAAGCAGTGCTGTTCAAAAATGTATTCGATTTTATAAGTCGCACAGAAAATATAATTAAATATAATATAAATGTTTAGTATGAAGTTACTAATTTATTGCTAAAACATCTTAAATATAAAATGAAGCTATTGTAAAAATTAATCAACAGATTTAACCCAATCACCTTAAGGTATAAACACTTCCAGGAATAAGATATTAGATATTTAATTTATTTGTTGTTTTTGCGAAGAAAATTCATCAATATAACGTTATTTCAGTGATTTATTTTCGTATAACACGAGCTGCTATGCTTTAAGTTTTATACGCACATCTTTTGAATTATACTCATATTTTATACTTACGTAGGCATTTATTTGCAGTCCAAACTTTGCTGTCTAAATATTCTGAATAAAAACCTCAACACGCTGTTTTTAAGTAAATGATAGTACTAAATTATCTAGTTAATGTGACCACATTGTAAGCAGTATCCAAAAGTACAGAACCTAATTTGATGAAACTGCAGTTCTTTTTTTTTTAGATAAATGAACAAATAACGTTAATGACTTTACTAAAAATGGGCGTTAACTGCAAGACAAAGTGTCGAGATTCTAATAAGATAAATTACCTGTTATATTGCTATGGTTGTTATACTATACGTAATAACAATGATTTAAATTAGTAAATTCAAATGTACGGGTAATTAGTTTAGTTGCTTTATTAATAGAGGCCCAGATTAAAGGGAAGTCTTAGGGGGGTGGTCCTCGGGATCCACAGATTTTGAGCCACCTAACCGTTAAAACGCAGTAAAGTTTTCTTTTCTTAATCATTTTTTTAATGGCTTTTAAAAAAAAATTATCAATCAATTTAAAACCTATTAACGAATGGTACTATATGTAATACAATTTTTTGTTTCATTCTTATTAATAGGTTAAAATATTTATATTAAAAATTATTCCGTCTTTATTCCGTTTGATTACTGAAAAAATGATACATTTATTTTTAAATGACGATAATTGATAATTTTAAAATTTTTATATAAAAATAATTTACATAAATAAAGAAAAATATGTAATTGTACATTATTATACTTCAAAAATAGAAGCCAATTATAATATTTTTCATTTCATAGCAAAAATTGATTTTACAAGAGTAAAGTTAATTAAATACATTGTTAATATAAGCTGGAGCTATCCATTAACGCTGCTGGATGATGAAATGAAAAAATATATTACATCTCTCTGCAGTTTTAGCTTCGAAGCTGAGAAGGACATTACCCTCAAAAATTTCCCTCGTTCACCGTAATTGGGGGCAATCTCTAAAAAAAATACAAATATAAAAATCACTAATTTTTAAAAAACTTTTTCAAAAATGACTTAATCGATATAATTTTTTTTTATAGGTGTATGATGTCTTTATCTATCATTTGATATATATTTTTTATAAATCTGACCCTTTACTAGCCCAAAGGGGGGGATTCAAAATTACAACTTTTTCAACATAACTTTTGAAGTTTTTCCGAAATACTTTTATATATATCTTAAATTAAAGTAAATGTAATGTAATTTAATATAGAAAAAAAAAATTCTAATTTTATTTTGTCTTCACGGTGAAAATGGCTTCCATATGCTATTTTTGTGATAAAATTCTCAATTTTATATTTTTTAATTTATATTTCTATAACTTTTTGAAAAATATATATATAGTATAAATATATATTTACATATATTTATTTATATATTACACTCATAAAACTTGTAATCAGGAATAAGAATTATAAATAAGGAAATAGGAGATCATGCAGCTTTTGGAATAATCCACCAATTTTTTAAAGTTAAACACTATCTACAGATTTGCATTGAAGCGTTTTTTATGATCACTGCGCTAAGTTTTTTTTATATTCATTGATCCAAATGAAATTTTAATAAAATAAACTACAGTCAATGAGCTTTATTTTGATATGCTTTTTATGGAAATATAATGAAAAATCTAGATACAGAAATGATCGAAAGAGAACTACGTATGTAAACAACATTTCTCAACTCAATTTTGAAAATAATCCGGATAGTGTTGTTAATTACAACCAGATATCATTTATACTTCGTTTATAATTAAGTAGCCTCTATTCTTCTATTCTTCTGCTAAAAATTACTACACTACAAGAAACCCATTTATTACTCTTCCACTGTTTATTTACATTCTTTTTTACTTTAAATAAATATATATTTGGCACGTTCCCTGAATTTTATTACAATAATATTTTTAATCCTTTTATCTTTATAAACATCGGAATTAAAATTATAATAGAAATTAATCACATTCATAATAGTAAAAGTTTAGTTAATAATATACATTTCGCAGTTATAAACATCTACTTAATTTTTCATTTTTCATTCATCACTATTTTTATGATGAAATTTTCGATATTTTATTTTATATTATTTACATTATATTGCTATAACTTTTTGAAAAATGGATTAATATCATAATTTTTATAAGTAATTTATACATGTTCTTTTCATATGTCATACTTTTATTTTTAAATCTGACCATTTTCCCAAACGAAGTGGAGTTTATAAACATGAAACATACGTAATTTTAATAAATATACACATTTTAATTAAAGAGTATTATTTGAGCCTTGATTATTATCTTTAGGTGTATTTAAGGGAAAATTGATGGAAAAATCCCTACTTAGGAAGAAAGATTAAAAATACTTAAATTTTAATTCAATGAAGAGAAAATAAGAACATTTTTTTAATGTTATATCTTTCGTATGAAATTTTAAATAAGCCACTAAAGCGTAATGGAAACTTTTAAAATAAATCGCTCAAAATTAAGTAACCAATATTTTTTTTTAAATTATACTTAAATAATTAATTTAGATTAATATATTACTATTATTTATTTCAATAATTTAATTACACTAAAATTACATTATAGGTAATTTCATTACTGTAACATGTAATACAAGTTTAGTTACTATCCAAAACTGATAATTATTGTCTTTAATACTTGTTTCGAAATCTACACTTTTTCTAGAAATTCTTCTACAAAATATTCATTCAACAAATGAAATCTAGATTAATCGTTTTTTTTATTTCTAATTGTTAAGAATAACGAAAAACGTTTAACAAAAAATAAATGCTTTTACAATAATCTTTATTAACTTACATAAATGTTTAATGATTAAATAATTTTAAAACATTTTGACAAAATCTTGAATATTAAAAATCTATCTTGTTTGTATATAGTCTCAACGTTTTCAATTTAGTCAACGCTAGCAATTGAAGTAATATTAAATAATGAAATCGATTTAAATATAATAAAATCGAAATCCATGATGATAACAAGCTCATCAAACCTAATCACAGAATTAAACAGTGTTATCGCAGAGTCTATTAATTTATCATCAGCAAATCGACGGGTTGAACTCACCTGACCGAGTCGTTTCAGTGAGTCGAATCATTCGTAAATTACACACCACAACTAGAAACATATCAATGTTATCGATATTTAATATATCGTAGAAAAAATTTAATCAATTTTATATCAATATGTATATTGGTCATCTCTAACGACTACTTTGTTGAAATATAACGTTGTAATAGTGAAGATCAAATGTTAATTTCTTTAACCTAACGTAACATTACCATGTATACAATACTGTAAAAATCCTAAGAATTCAGTGGATAGAATAAGATGAATTTTAATGATACGTTAAAATTCAACTATATTGTTTAAAATTGCTTACCTTTACAAAAATTTCAAGGATACTTAAAACATAGCGTGAAAGGTTTTTATGAGTGTATACACAAGAATTGAGAATGTAAAATGCGTAAACAATTTGGAATTCCAAAAAAAAAAAAAAAATATTCAGTAGCGTGAACTTTGAGTTTACATATTAGTAATCTGCAAAGAAACTGAGAAATATTTCACTAGAAATTCATTCCGTTGTAATTCTATAAACTTTTAACCTGAGTGATAAATATTATATAATTTCTAAAAATTTAAATAACATTTAATTATTTCATTACAAAAAATGAAATTCAATAAGAGTTAATTCGCTACAATTAAAGCTGTGTTTTGAATGTTCTTTTAATAAATGTTTTATTCAAATACGAACACAATGGTATATTTACTCAGACCTTGTTAGATTGGCAATTAATACAAGTATTTATAGCTTACAAGTTAGGTGTTTAATCGTACTTACATAATTTATAATGGAATAACGTCTGAACTTATTTGTTTTCTGTCTTACAATAAACTTTCAAGCATAAATTACTCAACATAGCACGTTTTATTTTAAGAATTTATTAATTCCTGCAACTCCTTCTTTCTTTCCCTTTCGCAAATGATCTAAAAAGGATCATTTGTGTCATTTAAGCACAAACCCGTAAACGATTGTAACATAAACTCAACAAAGACCACAAACTCTTCGCAGAAGAAAAAAGAAACGTACCATAAAGGAAATATTTCCATAAACTTGATGAAATATTACTAGCGACTGTAAAATATTGGTTTACCCCAGAAAACGCATATTGACAATTAAATTAGACATTTATATTTTCATAATTACCAAATAATGAAACATTCAAAATAATATCGTCGCTAAAAAGATGATTTACACTAATTTATGAAATCGTTATAATTATCCTGAAAGTATTTGTCAAACAATAACATAAATTCGTTTGAATCGAAACATAATGAAACAGTTTTATTTTAATGATTTAACGAATAAATCATTTTAATCATCACTAATAATGCTGTATTTTATTCTGATGTCTTGAAAAAAACACTTTAGATGTTTACACCCTACAGAGTGCAAATTGATATTTACTTCAACACGATTGTCTCAACTATACGCAACTCTGTTTTACCATGTTCAACAAAGATTTCTTCAATATAAAAGATGCTGTCTGTTATAGTTTGCCTGGAAAAAATCAGACGATAATGCAAAAATTAAGTTCGACTTTATACTCACTAAAACTTCAAATTCTTTAACAATAACGTAAATGAGCTTTCCTATTTTTAGCCCTACCTTAATAAAAGACCCTAATTTATTTTACACTCGTGCTCCGACTTCTAACCATTAAGTTAATAGAATAATGTGCCACGCAAATGCTGCCGATGTTTGCCATCTGATATAATGTGGTCCAAGTACCCTCTTATAGAGATTATCTAAATTTTAAATTGCCAACGCAATAGCCCTCGGTAATCATTACGCTGTATACGACTTAGTTTCTACTGAGTTTTTTTCGTAGAAAATATTTTTTAGTACCTGAATTGGACGTTCATTTTAGTTTTATTAAAAATTCTAATTTTGTTTTATCAAGTTTCTTAGTCGGATTCAAAACCACAGGGAATCATTTTTTCTAACTATAGTTACGAAATCTAATGAATGTATTTATTGTAAAAAGGTCTTGCTATCGTACAAAACAATTGCAGTCGAGAATTTTTTAGACTACTTTAAAAGTTTGTTGAGTTGGTCCCTGGAAAATAAAAATACCAAATTTATACAGTAATCAATAACATAGTTGGTTTATTTGCAAAAGCCTAAGCTGCAACGTGACGTAATATGAACTGAAAAAATAACATGGACATTATTAATTCCAAAGTTCATTTAACCGTATTTATTGTTGATTTAGTTTAAATTCAGTATTAATTCAACCTTATTTAATTCTTCCCTATTTAACATAAATATATTAAAATACCTTAATTTTAATACTTTTTATAAAGAAAAATAAAAAATATACATACAACTGAGCTATTATTATTATTAAATACAACCCTAGTAATACTTAATATATTATTAATAACATAGATATGGGTGTTTTTTAATAATTCCTTTACCATTCAACATTTTGATTTCTATAATATTTCATGTAACATAAAAATACCTAAATGTGCAAACGTTTTAATTATTTTTAGTTTATGCTGTAAAAAAATATAAAGAAACTATTTTTCTTAAAATACTAAAATTAATTATAGGGTATAAGAATTAAATTTTTTTAATTCTTCAGTATTTTTGAAATATGAATAAATAGACATAAAAACTCATAGTTTAAAATAGTCCTTGATTTTAGTGATTGATTCTGATTAATTTCATTTCATTTAAGTTTTACCAAAAGAACCTCAAAATAATTTACTAAAAAAATTTCAATTTCAATTTATAAATATTATATAAACTTTACTCTCTGTATGTTTGAATAAGTGTTATAATACGCTTGAATGTTTTTAGACGTTTACAGTGCAGTCATATTAATTAGCCTAACACTTTAAATTAGAAATAAATTAATAAAATGTACAACAGTAGGATATAACTATCATTGATTATGAAATTCGATTTAACACTGCACGCCACATTAAATAAAACAATTATAGTGATTTAAATCGTGGCATTGTGCTATTGTTTGCTTAATAAAAATTATTATGCATTGTTTTTTGAGTAGGTACAATATACAATAGCCTTTAATTACAAAATATTGAATGGCCGGTCGACCAATAAACATAAATTTATTTCTTTGCGAATTTAATTTCCGTATAAATTAATTACTCCAAAAACCAAACCCACCTACCGCAGATCACAATTTAATAGTCCCAAAAAATAACGTTGTTTTTTTGCAATTTCGTTATAGCCTAAAGTAATTTTCAAGTTAAACAATCATTATTCAGTTGTATTTTGATTAACTCGAATTAGTTGTTAAAAATTTCAGAAGTGTCTATTGTAATAGGTGGTAAATAGCACGTGTTTTTAGAATCAGATTTGATTGTAACATAAAATACAAATAATTGTAGTTGATGTTATCAACCTGTTAAACCGTGAAAATTACATATAATTGCTATGTACCTAAGTTAATAACCGTTTACGTTAATAAGACCACGACAAAAATTAGTTGCGTTATAAAAAGGTCAAAAAAAAAGCACACCATTCAAATGAGTGAAGAGAGCAACCCAGTCAATCGACTTACACCCTCAGCTTGTGTCCCAAGAACTTAAGGTGCATTTTAAGACCACGAAAAAGGAAGAAGATCAATCTCCTCAGCGTCGTTAGCAGAGTCCTTTCAACTTTTTGTATTTTATTTGCGATTGTCGTGTCTCTATTAAAGGCAACATTCAATTGAAAGCTTTTGCTATTCATATATTGAACATTATTAGGGACGTCTTTTGATTGATTATTACAATACATATATATATAATTTATTAACCCACGAACCTCTACGACTTTAAGTGTCTACAAAAGTTTCAACTTTGATAGACACAACAAATAATAACCTAGCCAAATGTTATCACAGTTTTGTCCTTCCTCTCTTTCATTCATATTTTGGATTATTTCACGACACCCGTTTTAAACCTATTCATCGTCTTATTTTAGGTCGTTGCGTGTCTCGCCGTTATTTTTGAAAATACCGAGAAAAGTTCATTTTACACAAATTTAATGGCTATATTTTTGAAGTTAAGATAAATAATATTAAATAAATAAGTTAATCAAAATTGTACGTGATAATTTTGTTTGTTTTGTAGTTTTTTAAAACGTGACTCTTAAATATATACGCATAAAAGTTTCTTTTAAATTATAAAAATAATGTGCTTCGCGAGTGTTGAATCAACGAAGAACCTTGTGATTTTTAGTCCGTCAATTTGTTATTTTTGCTCACCACAGCAAAATAGGCTCTCAATGAAAATATACGCGAACATTATTCGGAAATCACGTATATTTTCATAAAGATTTCTTCTTGAACGAGAAAGTTTGAAAGACGACATTTTTTTTCTCCTTCGACGTTTTTGCCAAGATAGGTGGAAACCATTAAATTGTGAGTAATTATTTTCGGAAATTTCGCGACATGAAAGCGGATATCGCTGGAAATTATATTGTTATAATATGAAAGGATTACTGAACAGAGAATAACGTTTAAATAGATGATAACTTTTCTGTTTTCAGTATTGCAGTTGTTTAAAGAGCCGCGTTAAAACTTTCCAAAACTGTGCTTCAACGTTATTAACTATAAACTTAAATATTTGCCGAAAACACGCTATCCCAAAAGAGTATTGAATTATGTGTTGTTTTTAACGAACACCCGCATTTATTAAGATATATACCGTCGCAGGGCCCTATTAACTGCCTAGCCAACAAACGAGCCATATCCAAAGTTGGCAGGGTAGTTTTTACGTTTTCTGCGCTTGTGTATTATTATGTTGGCGTTTCTTTTGACGATTACACCTGCAACACCAGAACTTGTGTATAATTACTACGGGCAAGGTCGAGTTTAAAGCCTCCCCAAACGACCAGTGTGTTGTTACTACGACGCGTAAACATCACGTTTAAGGTGAACAACTGAATGCAAACGAAATTCGGGGCAAACGTACTCTCCTCTGTACGGGCAGCGCCAAAACTCGTACAACTTTTAATAAACGACAGTGTGAACTTTATAAATTGTTTACCGCACCGAAATAAGCGCCCGAGTAATTGCGCTAGGACGTGCCGTGTTAATTAACGACGTTACAAGTCGACAGGTAACAACGGAATAATATTAAGAAGAAGAAATCATAAGCTGAGACAATTGTAAATAGCAGCGCCTAGGTAAATCTTCGCGGCAATTACAAGTACATTAATAATGCAAATTCCCAAAGCAGTCAGAATTTACAGACAGAATTATCACTCATTAACGTCTAAATGCAATGAAACAAATTGAGTAAACTTCTAGTATTGATTCTTAATTTGAATTCTAATATTAATTTAATAACTCACCGCTTTCATGAAAACTCTATTCTATTTTACAATGAAAAATTTCATCAACAGTCTATAGGAGTAATAATTGTTGTTAACAGTTCAATACTAGTCTTACAATGATTTAACCTGATATACATTTAAATAACTAAGTAATGTGGGTAAAAATTTTACGTTTTTATAGTTTGTTACATTTACGACGATAAACAAAAAACTTTAGTTCTACTCCGTACTGATCACGAAATGGTCTGTAATAAGCAAAGTTCAAAAACTAGATGATACAGAGTCCGTTCAATAAGTATCGGCACTAGTTCCAAAAATCAAAATTTATTCCCGGCATCACTACAATTACTTAATAGTCTTCAAAATACACTCCTCCTGCATCGATACACTTAGTTCGGCGTGTCTGCCTCTCGTCAAAAACCCGCTGGAATACTTTTGAGAACCTTTGTCGTCACCGCTCGAACCGCCTCGATGGAGTCTAACTATCCTTTGAGCTCCTCTTTCATTTACGGAAACAAGAAAAAGTCAGGTGGATTTTAAGTAGGGTGGGAAGGGGAAATATCGCCACGCCAAATTTCGCTAAAAACTGCCGCACAACAATCGCATCGAGACACGGCGCACGCTTTCCTCATCGCAAGATCGTCTGTTACAATGAAGTGGACGGTTCTGATTGAAAGGCCGGTCTCCTCACTGATAAAGACGATGGTTAAATGCTTGACAGAGTCCAAAACTTTTTTCACTTTGGCCACCTGAGCATCGGTTCGACGAGCTCCTGGCCTTCCTTAAACATTTTGTGCATCATCCCCATAAGCCTGTTTAACGAGTTCAAGGGATTACAGAGTTTAAAACAAAATTACACAGCGTAACGTTGTTCGACGACGCGATCTATGCTGGCGTGACGACACCTTAAAAGATCACACGTCACATAATCCACCTTCTGTCACAACAAATGCCCGCAGGTGATTGAACTTAGGTGTTCCTGACTGGTGGAGGTCCCTCTACCGAGCCCGATCAGTCGGACTCCATCCACCGTTTCGTTGAGGCTACAAAGAACCAGTCCCGATATTTATTGAACGGACCCTGTAAGTAGCATTAGGACCGGGTCAAACCCGCAAGCAAAATGAACATTGGTTACGGTTCTCTATTAGTTTCAGAAATTGAATCTTAAAGTTTGTTAAAAAACATGTATAAAAAAAAGACATGTTCAAAACGTCTCAATATAGACAAATGTAAATGTTGAACTTTTTGTTTTAAATACATTTAAAAAATATTTTTGTAGAGCGAGGCATTTTACTCTTTTTTTTAACGTGTGACCTATTTTTAATAAAGAAATCATAGATTTGTAGAAAATAATTCTAATTTAGAGGGAGACGACGTTGCTCCTCGTATGGTCCTCTTGTATCTGTGCCTGTATCTTACCCCTCGATAAATTCTTGTGTAGGATATCTGTAAATTCAAGTCCAAATTTTGCTTCTACATCACTTGTTTTAAACATTTATTATACACCGAAATTTAAGACCGATGTCAGTATTTTATACCAAATATCAAAATCAAGTACCAGTAATTTATAAGGACTAGCGTATACGATTATAAAAGTTAGCCTTGAGGTGCCTATCGTGTCTCGCTAGCAATTTTCAATAATTATGATTAAATAATACCATTTTTAATTTACTAACATTATTCAATAAGATGATCTGAATAATGACGTTACTCGTCAATGACACTCAAGAATTCCTAGTACTAAAATTTCAACTTATTTGTCAACAATCTATTATGACTAATTCTAAAAAGATTCCCGCATAATTTTTTTAACACTTTTATTGATTAGAAAACTTGGACGAATCAACCGATTAATAGCTTTTGTCCATGCCAATATATATAAACAAATATTCCTGAAAAGTGTGGAAATACATTATCAATTAAAACTATAACCTAAACTAGTAGAAATATTACATAACCTCAAATATATATATATATACTAATTATAGACGTGCTTCACTATTGATGAGTTCATACATTTTTTATAAGGGGTGCTCTCTAAGCATTAGTGATAACGGAAATTTTTTTTTACATATTTCCATAAAACTATCATTAAAAAAACATGACGAACAAAAAAAAAATTCTGAAAATGGGTAAATCATTGTAACCCTGAGATAATCAGAGGGAATCAGTCCCCTATAATATACCTGGAAACACTATAATCAACTTACCAAAATCATAGAACAAATTTCCGATTTTTCAACAAGCTCACTAAGCCTAATTAAATAAATATAATTAAGCATACGCGTTTTAACAAAGTGTATCATGTAACCGTTTATAAATAAAAGAAAGCATAATATTATGATAATTTTTTTCTTTTATTGAAGTTACTAACTACATATAGACAGATTATATTTCACCCATAGGTTACATTTAAAAGAAGATATAAAGATGTAAATAATCATATTAAAAACATAATCATTTTCCCATATAATATTACATTGTTGATGAATTAAACATAAAAAAATGTAAAAAAATTACTTTAGGTGGGGAGGGGAGCATATAATACAATTTCCATGTTGTATAAAATAAACAATATTACAAAAAAAAAATTATATATATATGTATATATATATGATATTTAATTCAAAAAATAAATTATTACATTCTAGCTAATGAACAGTTGAAACATTATTTAGGAAATATAATATTTGAGAACTATTGAAAAACAAAAAGATAATGCAGTTGAAAGGAAAAATAAAACATCTCGTGATGGATCATTTACCTAGAATAACTTAATAGGGATTATGTTCATTGACTTCTGATTGGCCATAAGAATGTTTTTACAGACAAAATAAGAATAATAATTCAGTTTGTGCTCCAATAAGGAGTAGTGCTTTGACCATATGTTTGCTTTACGTTTACCTTATTAGTAGCAGTCTGATTACGGTTTATATTGTTGGTGGTTCCATTACTTAGTTCTTGCTGAAACATTTTAATTTAATTTTTAGCAAACTGCAACAGCATAAAAATTAACCAAAATAAGAATTTAATTAAATAAGTTCTACAACATTATAAACAGCTGTCACTTATAATATTATATTAATAAATATGATAATCATTTAGTATAGAGCAAGATACTGCATAGTATACATCCTTTGTCTACATTACAAATGAAATCAACAATTTAGTACATAAAAGTGTATTAATTTTAACTTATTTGAGTAGATACATTGATCTCATAAAGGTCCTTTTTTATGTTAAATATTTTATAACATTAGTATAATAAAATTTGTAAACTCTTTGTCCACCACTGTAAGGAAATTCCCTCATCAATGGTATTAATAGATCCATTATTTACAAATTTATCTCTTTTTTAAATAATATAAACATTATAATTTATTTATATTCTTTACTATAATTACAGTGATAATACGGGGAACCCTTAAAATTATTTTTAAAATTGGTATAAGAAAGAAAGAGAGTATTAGAAGTATGGCTCTAGATTGACATAAAGACTAATAGAAGAACAAAAGTTTTTGTTATTGTAAGTAATATAGCATATTTTTACTATAGTATGGTGGAAATTTTTAATGAAAGCAGTCCCAAAATCAATTTAAAAATTTTACTTGAAATTATTTTGGATAACGAAATTTTTATTTGTTCTTAATAATTTTTATACTTTATCAACTTATAAGAAAAAAGTGTTTCAAGTTAAATATTATATACCAGTTAGGTTATATTTTTTAAAGAATTCATACATACCCCTTGTCTATTTTGAACCCTCATATCAATCTACAACATCAAAAATTTAAGAATAAATACATAATTATTCTCGAAATTATACTTAATCACAATATTAGAATTAAAACAGTGCAACTCGAAAAAAAAAAAATAGTAGAAATAAGGATATGAAATTTCTAAATACTCTTATTAATTTTTTTTTTACCTAATGTAACCAATAATAAACAGCAAAATTAATAGTAAAAAATGTCTATATATTACAAATTACTACCAATACCAATGATATATTTTTCTAAAAATGACCTTGAGTTATGCTGTTAGTTTTTCAATGTTGTGATATATTTAATTGATTGTTCATTTATTTTCTAACCTGATGATGTAATGGTGCTATATGGTGTGGCTGAGGATTTCCAGGAGGCAATGGAGAGATAAATACTGGAGCATAATTACCACCACTGTGGTGACCACCAACTCCGCCATTATTTAAATTAACAGAAAATGGAGGAGGTGATTGAAAAGACTGCTGTTGTTTGTCATAAGGCTAAACATATAAATAATATTATTATTATTTAATAAAAAATATAATTTGCATGCATAAGTTGTAAAATTAACTCACACTTACTTTGTTTATTGATGATTTGTTACTATACATAGCAGCGAGATCAGATGAGTTATTTTTGCCCTGAGATTGCGATGTTTGCTGTCCAGATACACCTACTTTGCTTGAACTTCCATAATCTGTACTTGAGCCACCAGAAACAGATGATGAACCCAGTGTCTCATACACATTATTGTAGGCAGCAGGTGCAGCCGCAGTTTTGTTATATCCAGACATTGTGTTATTAGGTCCCGTGCCATGACTGGTTGCATTTGCTGCTGGCGCCATCTGATAACGAACCGCGTCGATGTGTTTTTTCAGTGTTTAATTTTATTATTTATTTATTTTATACATTAAAATATATATTCATAAAAGACTTGTGTATTACTTTTTTAATATTTCATTTTAATAAATAACTCATAGAAAATCTTTGAGTAAAATGCATTCATTAAATTCAATTATTTGAAAGGGAAAAATATATTTAAGCTTCCCCCTGTAACCTAATATTTATCTATTATTTGTACTACTAATACTAATGGATAGGACGTCACAATAAATTATAATTGGATAAAGTGTTTTGAAAGATAAAAAGTTCATCAAGTATTTTGTTCGTCCTCTGTGTAGCAATAGATCTAACAAAAAGAAAAAAAAGAAATAATAATATAAAAACATGCTTGACCTGAAGTTGTAATTAATTATAGTAATAATTTAGATACACACCCTTATTACATCTTTTTTTTCTTCTTAGTATTGGATCTTAAAATGTTGTTAATAAATGCATATCTAGTTAATATTATGTAGTTCACAAAACATTTATGAATTATTATATTTTACAGTGAAATATTTTATCTCATGACCAAATAAATCAGAAATTTTTACACTAAAAATTTAGTTGAGGAAAACATAAAAGCCAAAATTATTATTGTCAAATAAAGAACTAAAAAAAAAATTGAAAAAATCAAAATTTTTTTTTTTTATATTTATTATTTTAAAGACCAACTATTCAAAGAAGCCAAATACAACAGTAACACGATAAAGTTGTAGCAAGAGAAAATATTAAATTTATTTATTTTATCTCTATATTATATTATTAACATTCAACATAAAGTTTCATTAACATTTATATATTATTTAATGGTATTGTTTTATATTCAAATATATATATATATATATATGTATATCTTTCTGTTTTATTAATGTTGATTATGCTTAACCTATATGATGTTGGTTGAACAAATTATTATTATTTTTGCTTTATCAAATTTTATTGAATTTAAGTAATATATTTCACAAAACAAATAAGTTTAATTCATTATATTTAAAAACAGAATACACATATTAAAACTTAAGTTTTTTTTTCCAAATATAAGTAGAGGTGAAACAGTGAAATGTAAAGATAAAAACATAAATACATAAAATAATACATATTATTAATTAACAACCAATGAAGCTTTTTTTTTTTTTTATATTAACTAAAACATTAAATAAAATTTAAAGAAAATGAATTTTTAAAGAAGTTTTTTTTTCATTTTTACACAAAAGCTATTAAATTTTAGTGCATATATCTTCATTGGAGTCTCAACAGATAATTCAGCATTGGCCTCTCAATTCAATTTCCAATTATTACTAATAAAATTCAATTGACAATATAAGTTTTAATTTCGAATAATTTTTTAATTAAATAATGTTTTAATTAAGTGAGAGATGAGTATCCTCCAATATTTAAAAATCAAATATATTTTGTCACAATTTTCTATAGTCAAATATCTTTTAGTGATTGGATTGCTTTTAAAAGAAAATATTAATAAAATATTCTTGGTTATTATGTGTAATTCATTTAATTTGAATGATACTATTTTTATTTAGGAAATTTATTCATAGCAAACAATATAACATGTTATTTTGCGCTAACTTTAACAAAAAAGTATATTTCATTTAAAGAATATTACATAGTAAATCTTGAGAAATAAATAAGATTTTAGCTATTTTGTTTAGATTTAAACTATTCATTTATTAATTTTTCAATTTTATTACCTATGTGATTCCATAAAAATAACCCATCTTTTAAACTTAATTGTTTAGCAACAACAATTTGTTTATATTAGAAATAAAAGTAAAATATTAATAACAAAAATAAACTTTAGTTTACTATTTATAAAAAGTATTCAAGTTTATTAATGATAAGATAACACATACTTTATTGAGACCTAAGGAAATTAGAGCGAATAACAAAATGGATACACAAAATTAGTTGTTAATAGGTATCTTAAAGTTTACTTTTCATGATAATTTGTATTATTATTGTTAAATTTCCTTCATGCATTTTATAACCTAATTTATAATGATACTAATAAGAAGTGGTAGGATTTATTTAATGTTTAAATGTTGAAGACACTATTAAAACTTGTAAAAAATATTAGTATTTTAAAAGAGAAATTTATGAAACTGATCTAATTAATTAATTGAGTAATGTTAAACAGAAAATGTTTATGTTATTAAAAGCATAATACAATTTGATAATATCAAATTACTTCTTTAAAATATTAACAATCTAAATAATGACATAGATGCAACTGAAGACAGACATTTTGCATATACAAAAGGTGTAATGTGGAAAAAACCACCTTGTATTTTACACATAGGAGACTATTGTATAATACATATTTGATTTATACCTTAATATTTTAACTTTCGTAAAAAAATATGTTTATCATAGAAAAGTATCCAACATAGTTGTTATATTTAATGAAAAATTCGTGTATAAATAAATCAAATTTAAATCATAAATTAAATTTAAAAATGTACTGATTTATAATGGTTTTAAGTACTAATTAAACTTTAATCATTAGTTAATTACACTAAATTTTTATTTTTTTATTTTTGAAAAAACGTTTTTATAACAAACAATGCATTAAATTTTTAAAATAGGCATTAAAATAAATTAAAAAATAAATTTAAATAGCCTGAAAACTTACCGGGTACATAGTACCATATTGGAAAGGATTTGCTGGTATCACAGACTGACCATAATAATACGTATAACTTGGAGTAATGGTAGGGTTTAACAATGTTTGCTGGTGTGCCAATGTTCCAGACTACAAAACAACAAAAACTTAGTAAACTTAAATGAGTTATTTACATACCTTCATTTTTATTACCTGTTGTGAAAGTGTGGATGGAACTGGTGAAGCATTATTATCTGTACGAGTAAACCTAGAATCTGTAAGAGATGAATATCCAGCTACATTTGTAATACCAGCACCAGCATTTTCTCTTCCGCTAAGACTAGTTGAAACTGTGGGATACATAGGGTCAGGAGAATAGAAATTAGTTGTCTGAAATATTAATAAAAAAGATTATGTATACTTGACAAATACTATATATTTTTAAAGTTATATGAATTTTTTTTTTTTGGTAGATAATTTTTTAAAAATTCAATATCTTGAAAAAAGAATTTTACAGTTGAAATTATAATGATAATATATTTTAAATATATAATGGATTTTGTTCATTACCATATGATGAGGTAACCTTGATTGCACCATTTGTAAGTGTTCATCACTATACATAACTGGATGCGATTGGTAATATCCAGGTATACCCTGCTGACTCAATATGTATTGAGCACCAACTAGTGGTGCAACACCAGGTGGCATACTAGATAATACGCCACTTTTATTAGCTAAACAAACAAAACATAACATAAGAATAAAATAAAAAAAATAGAATGAAATTCAAATATTAAGTGTAAAAAATAAATTTATTATTATTATTTTTTTTATTAGCTTTTATTATAATACTAAAATGTTATTACTTTATTTAATCTTAACATACAAATAATTTAATTGTTTTATGTATCTCTCTATTAACATTAATTTTTTTGTTAGTTGCTAATAGAACTGTACACAATGTTGAGCAATCTAAATTGCAATTATCAATAAATTTTCAATTTATATTAGAATTAAAAAATATTTTACTAATTTAAATAAAATAATAAAAAAAAAACAATTAAGAGATTTTTGTGTTATGTGATCCTGAACAGTGATATAGCCACTGTTTTAAGTGATAAGATTTTTTTTTTAGCTTATCATATATCTTTACTTGTGTTAGTTATACATTTTTAATAGTAATAATTAGTCCCATTGGCCACTTTTTTATATTTTCAAATTAATATTAATTATTTACTCAAATAGATTTTCTTTCTATTGAGCTATTAACAAAATTTTCTAGAATTTATAGTTTTAAAGAAAACAAAAAAATAAATATTATTTAGGATATTCACATTGACATTATTCTGTATTCAAATTATTCTACTGTTTTGGCATATTGTATTTTCCTAATATCTCATTTTAAAGTAAATCTAATTAAATACACATTAATTTTTAATAAATTTAATTTAAATTATATTTTAATTAACCATAAGATTTTAAAGTCAACAAAAATTTAACTTTATTTATTTTGAATACCATACTATCTTTTTAAAAATCAAGAAAGTAAAAAAAAGAGAACTATAGTTAAGAACATATTTGTAACTTATGTTTTTGAAGGGGTCAAAGTTTATGTAACTTAGTAACAATATACCATACAATATAATTTTAATATAATGTATTGCATTTTATAGTAGCATAGAAATACTTTTAATTTTTGGGGAATAAAAACCCCAAATCCATCCCAAAATTATACCCCTAGTTACAGTACATTACTATGATTTATGCCAATCAATAAAAATTTATACTGGCTTATTATGTGTTCAGAATAACTTACAAAGTTTATAAATCCATTGTTTTACATTTTGAGTTTAAACATAAGCTTAAAGCACAGTAAATCCTGTCAGTACATATTATTTCATAGTATGGATTGTTGCGAATTGTATATTCTAGGATAAATACTTGATACAAGGTACTACATTATTTATTATATGACCTTGAAACTAAATTACATATAGTTTTGAATTTTGTTTTATTTAATTCAAAAAAGAAAATTATTTCAAAGATCAGAACCTAATTTTTTTAAATAAAATGTTCTCTTTTAGGGTGGGCTTTCCTATGTATTTTATACACTACCACCTCAAATAAAAGGATTGTAACCATAAAATGTTTAGTTGATTAGGAGAATAACTATAAATTATTAATAACATATATCTTCTATATAATTTTTTGTTTTGTTTAATAGTTTTTTACTCAATTAATAAAAAAAAATTACTGTTTTTTTGCTGAGATATAAAAAAAGTATGTTTTTATGTGATAATCAGAAAAATTGATAATTTTTAGTTACAAATCTTATCATTGATGGTAGTGATTTATATTCTTATTTATAGTAAGTTTCATGTTGGTAAAAATTTTTATTATTTCTTTAGATTTTTAACCTTTTGTCAAACCGAGCTAATATTATTTTAAAATTTAATATTGAAACAAAGTTACATTTTAATTTATGATATTTACTTGTTGGAGTTGTTGTTTTAGAAGTTAACAGTGTATTTTGTGTCAGTCCTATACTTGATGATGTGCCACTAATATTATTTCCAGTTGAATTACTAGCACTTGATGTAAGTGAGTTACTTGATGTTTGTGATTGTTCATACTACGGTAAAAATTAATATAAGTATAATAAATTTAATTATAATAAAGAATTATGTTACCAGGCTATCCTTTGTGGTAGAATTAGTTGTTGATGTTAAAGCAGCAGTTGATTTAGATAAATTATTTGTGCTACCAGTCTGGTGCAAGTTTTGATGGATGTAATTTGAATAGGTAGAAGGTGTATACATTGATGCTAAATTTGCAGCAGAAACTAAAGGAGGGTATGAAATTCCAGATGCCTGGTACGAATGAGCAGGATTTGGATACGAATAAGATGGAAATTGAGGTTGTGCAGCTGTTTGGGGATAATTGGCATTCAAAATTGAATGATTTGATTGTGACAACTGAGGAATGTGGGGGTTAGTGTTATTAACACTAATATTAGATGAAGCTGTTCCATATAAACTTGTGTGGCTGGTAATACCCTGAAAAATAAAATATTAAATTCAATAGGATACATAAAACAAAGAAAATTAATTTTAAATTAAAAACTTTATTTTTTAAGTTTTTACTAAGCATTACCATTACACTATCTTACAATAATTAATATCCTATTGTTTTAACTTAAAGAAATTTTTAAAAAACTGTAATTTTACCTTATTCTTATGGTAAACATTTATTATTTGTATATTTATTAACCAATTGTTACATACTTGTGGGGTATTTGAATAAACTGAGTTGTAAAGAGATGTAGGCTGACCAGAATTAACATGTTGATAGGGACTACCAGCTGCATTTTGTTTTGATAAATAATCAGCAGGAGGAGGCACTCCTGGAGGAGGTCCAATCTTGGTTGAAGGTTGAGATGCTTGGTTAACTTGTGAAGGTCGTTGATTTTGGTTTACACTTTGGTTAGAAAGTGATGAATATTCAGTTGACCCTAATACTGAATCAACTTGCTGATCACTTGGTTCTTCATACTTAACAGGCATGGAATTTTGGTCCATTACTGTTGAATTATCTCCTAGATGTGTATCATTAGATATTTCAACAGCACCAAAAGAAACATCCAAGAAGTTAATATTTGCACTAGAATCATCTGGTGGCATTTCTACAGCACTTAAAGGTATTTTAGAAGGGGGTGGAATACGAGCTCGTAAAGTAGGTTTTTTCCCTGGGCCTATTGAGCTATCAACATACGGAGAAGAAACAAATTCCACTAAATATTAAAAAAAAAGTCAATAAAAATTGGTTTCAATATAAAAAATGTAAATTATGAATTTTATGCAAACCTGGAGGATGAGAATTAAATGCAGTTGGTACTGGTTGAGTAGTTACTTTTTTCAACTGACTTTCTTGAGTCAGTGATGATAAATACTGAGATTGTTCAGGAGTAAGAGTTTTACTAGTAACTGAATGTTTGTCAGAAATTGTAGTCTAAAACAAAGAGGTATATTATAAAATTTTCACTGAAAATTATTAAACTTAATACTTACCTTATTAATAACTACATTTTGTTGACTTGGTGCCTGAACTGCATCATTCCAATCACTAACTTCCAAGTAGGAATCCTCATTTGGTTTTGAAAGTGCTTCAGGTTCATGGTTAGAAACATTTTCAGTACCACCGCTAGGTGTAAACACTTTGGTATCAGCTAATGAACCAGTATACTCTTCATTGTCCCAGTCTTCAGGTGAAGGAAATGTATCTCCCCAGTTCTCTAATTTTCATATAAAAAAGAAAAACTTTTAAAATAAAAGTAAAGTATTATGTCATTTAAATTTTCTCATTTTAATAATTATAGATTAATTAGTTATTTATTAATCACTTTATTTTTAAACAAATACCTTTTTTTGACTCTTTGGTTGTAGGATTAAACCAAGTATCAATTGGTTGGTTAAAACCACCAGTATTTCCTGGACTAGGTCCAGAAGTACTACGTTCACTATTTTGGAACATTCGAGTACCTCTAGAGCGACCATTGAAACGTGTACCATTCACGCCTCTTCTTGAACCTCTGCTGTCTGAACGGAAATTTCGGCTTTCACCAACCATACTATCATCTGCAGCATTTTTTTCATTTTCTTTATTCTCTCGATCTCGCCCTATAAATAAGATTTAGTAATAAAATTAAGTCCATAATTTAAATAATCAATTAAAAATTAATTAAACTTACATTTACGAGACTCCCCATATTTCTGACCATCATTATGTCTGGATCTTGAATTATATCCTCCTCGTCCTCCACGACCACGACCCCGTCTTTCACTGAACCCACCAACATTTTGACCAGAATGAGTTGTAGCAGGAGTGACACTTTCATCCCAATCACCCTCTATAAGGAACAATAAAAAAAAATAACTTATTAAATTCAAAAATTGTTATATTTTGTAGTACAAAAAATATTAAAACATAATAAATAAATTTCATTAATTTATCTTTCATATTATTTCATAAAGATGCACAATATTTAATAATTAGATGTGTAAAATACATAAAATATAAATATATATTTTGTAATAATTATATACAAAATTTTAAAATCTGTTTTATAATATAAACTATATGTATTATTTGATTTTAAGTCAAAGAAAACAAAGTTAATAACATAAATATGTTTATTGTAAGATTAATAAATACTTTAATAGTTTAAAACTATCCAACTACATTTAAACTGGTGTGTACTAAGGGAAGAAATAAATGCAGTAGGGTGTCCTATTGTCTAGTACACTGGAACGATGGTACTTTATACCACTGTAAAAATTTGAATATAGATACCCATCTATGAGCCTATAGTGACAGATGCAGTTTAACACTAGAGCTTATCTCCAATTAACATGGTTACTATACTAAACCCAGTACCTCATTAATAGTTATCAACTATTAGAAGAACTATTTCCATATTATTCCAATAAAACAAAAATTATTAATATTAGTTACCTTTAATCAATTTATTAATCACAAATTTAAAATCATAACAGTTTAAACTTAAGATAAACAACTGAAAAAAAGAAGTGATAAATATATAAAATGAAAATCAAATTACCTCCATCAACATCACCATTTTTTATTTCTTTTTTATTCACACTATTAGCCCGATTTTTCTTTTTTTTGCCAGTTGTTGACCACGATTCCTGAAACATATTATAAATAGAATATATTTGCATAATAGCATAATAAAAATACTGAACATTTAGGATTTAAAAACAAATTTAAATTTAACTGTAAAATTTAATTTTTCATTATCAATTCAACATTTATTTCAAACTAAAAGAATAATTTAGGAAATATAGAACTAATATATAGTGGCATTAAAAACCTTATAAAAGCCAATAAATTTGTTACCTGTGGTCCTTCCAATAAAGCATCTATAGTTAAAGCTACATCAAGACTATTATCATGTAATGCAATAACAATTTCATCTTCACTTTTTTGTATTATTTGCATTACCTATTTTAATAAATAAAAGTATTAAATGTTTAATACTAAGTTACAACATAGTATTAAATGTATGATAAACTATTAACTAAAAAGATAAACTATTTACCTGTTTTACTTTATCTATAATTTCATCATCTGGTTTTAAATCAATGATTTTAGCAATCCTAAGCTGTTCTGCTGTAGGCTAAAATAAAATATAAAATGTATTTTTTAATCTTTGCAACTAAAATAGACAAATTCAATTAACATTATCAACATTATACTTAAAAATGTCATGTGTTTGTTTTTTAAAAAAATATATAAATATTTTAACACAAATTTATATTTTCAAAATATGTCACAGTAACTTTAGTACAATGGATATAAGGGAGCAAAGAATTCATTTAAAAAACTAAAACTCTATTATTAAAACTTGATTCGCTTAACATTAAAACATTAACACAGTAATATTACTTGAAAAAGTTGAGTTTCTTTATAATTACCTATCATGATATAATTTAACTAAATAAAACTTAGCGACTCAACTAATAGATATAAAATAATCATTATTTAGAAAATGTTTGATAAAATAATAAAACAAATGAACCTTCAGTACTGGTCAAAAGTTTACGTTTTCCTGACAATTATCATAAAATGTAAATAAACAAAGATTTTTTTATGTCATTTACTAGCATTATTAAAAAAAAAAGTATTTTTATAAACAAAAGTGTCAAATTTTAAACAGATTTAGCATCTTTTTTATTTTATTAGATTTTACATAAACATTTTACTTGAACATTGAATAAGTTATGTAGATTTCTAAAAAAAAGCAAGTGAACTTTTGCCAGGTAAAGTAAATTTAACAAAAACTCTACTATAAATAAAAAATTTCTTTGTCAGAACACATTATTTAAAACAATTCAGTAATAACAAATATTCAACTCAACTTTTTAAATTATAGTTGCTAAATTTAGTGTAATATAGTTTTACTCATAAGATAATACTAGTATTATAAAAGGTAAAGAATAGAATAGATTTTAAAGCATAAAGAATTAAAATAAGCTATAGTTTAGAATTCCTTATTGTAAAAATTTGAATATTCTTTAATAAAAATTATATTATACCTGAAGCTTTTCTTTTTCATGAACTTTATGAGGTGCTACCTCTTTTATTTCATTTTGTGTAGACGTGTTTGTGCTATTATTCTTGCTGGACGTCTTGGCGCTGCGGTTTACAACCCCTTTAACGCCGCTCATCTTAATATTTATCTATTAACAGGTCTTCCACTTATTCCCTATGTACAACAGTATTTACAGGGCTATCTAAAAATAAAAAAACAGTTCAGTACATAATCACAGAAACTTAAAGACCATTAATGACTTTAACAACAATGTAATTAAATAAGTGTAAAAATGAATTAGATAAATTTATTAAATTATTCAGGGTACTAGTGATCAGTTTTTAAAAAAGACACGATAAATACTATAAAATTTAATATATCAATATCAAGAAATCCGCATTCGTAGTTTTCCAATGTAGCATAGGTAAGAAAACCAAAAGTCATGCTTATGGTAATATACGTACCAATGCCGGCATTTAAAAAATAGATATGCGATTACATGTGAACAGAAATTTGGCGCGAGACTAGGGTGTTTTATACGGTTGACAGGAAATTTCAATTTCGCTGAACAAAACAATCTTGTGTGAATAAACGAGAACATGTGGTGGGGACTGCACACTAAGACGACGCCATTTCAACGTTTTGGAACACGGATCGGCGGAATTTCACTGATCAGCAGCCCCGAATATCCCATTATGTCGTAGCAATCATCTCTTATGATGGTCAATAGTTCCACATAAACTTAATGTCAAATAAATGATCCATACTTACCAAATTACAATACACATTTATACAACACACAAATCACGATCAATGTATTTAACCTTAGTATCAGAGTAACATTATTTTTGTACACAAAATGTAAATAATAAAATAAAAATATACAGCGCCTGTACTGCGAGTGTGAGTGTTTAGTATGAATGTGTACAATAATATTGTATTTGTGTTGGTGCGTTTGTTTCGGGTTGAAACGAGATAAAGTATCTACTTTGCCGGTGGATAAAGTGAGAACGAGTAAGAGCGATACTGTCATGGAAAAAACAATAATACCACTGTTTTTCTCTTTATGACGACAGTGGTGCCTTACTAAGATTGTTAAGTGTTCTGAATATTTTGATATGTATTTTGTATACCGGTAAACAAGTGCCGGCTTTTGAAACCGAAACGATGGTCGATGATTATCCATGCCAACTTTTGCATTGTTATTATAAGTGAAAAAACATTTTTTTGTGCCGCATCATGATAAGATTTTAATTTCATCTTTTTATTAAATTAGTTTTTAATTTTTTTATTTTATTACAAGTCATTATTATACGGGCTAAAAGAGTAGAAGAGAAGAGTATATTCTTAAAACGACTTAGCTCCCTTCAAATTTAGAAAACTTTATGTATTATAAAATAAAAACACATTGTAAGATGGGGAAAAATATCCGAATATTAAATGAATTATCATGAATTAAAAAAGTGCGCTTGCAAATTTTTTTGGTTTTTCAAGTTATTAGCCATAATCACCTAACATGTTTGGGTTACATTTGATAAAATTTGTCAAGAAATTGCTGTGGATTACAAACAGTTGGCAAAATTTGAATGTAGTAAACAGTATAGTAAAAATAAGAGCTTTTTAAAAGCTTTAGAGTATTCTTTGAATTATTTTTATTTTAATAATATATAGTATATAAGTTGTTTAGATAAGGTGTATGGTGTAACGCCAGTAGATCATTTAGTCGCTGCCATAGCGTTGATGTTAAGCTGCATTGTTTGCTGTTGGTTTTCGGATGGGTGATCATAGGTTAGCCTAAACCATGACACACATTTTGCCCCCTTACTGACTTTCTGTCATTATGAGATTGTGTCAGGTTGACAGAGAAAAAATCTTGTCATATCGTAAGGTAAATTTAACCCCAAATAGTTGTAGAGCTAAGGCATGACAATGATTTAAAATAATTAGATCATTTGTTTATTCTATTTAATATTATTTAATAGTATATTATTCTGTTATTTTTTCTTTGCAGACGTAATTTTTCGACCATTTTTTTCTATATTCAAAAAGTACATCATTATATTTTAATATTATATGTATTCTTATATTCTTATATATTTATTATTATTATTCTATTTTCATATAGTCATAGTTATAGTATTCTAGAAAAAAAATGTTCACGAGTGCAAAGGACTTTTCAATTTTTAATATATTCCTTTAACAAACCATCATAAAAAAACAATTCTAGATTTTAAATCAAAATTTTATTTGTATTGTTATTATATGTTGATCCTCGGGCCTTACTCTAAATTACTCTAGTCTCATAACTTTTGTCAAATGTCTGTCGATGCCTTGTTAGCTCAATTTTTAAATCTGATTTTGAATAACACACCGACTAACTAAAAATTATAAGTAAAAGAAAAAATATTACAATATCGTCTTGACGAAGATTTGTAATTTGTTTTTGTTTCTCGAAATTAGTACAGAGTATATCTATTATATATTATCTAATACGTTATTTTCAACTATTACTTTTTTAAAGACATTACTAGATAGAAAGAATCAATAAAAATTTAATAAGTCTGCAAAGAGTAACTGAGGTTTAATTATATATTAGACTTTCTTTATATATGAGATCTAAAAGCTAAGTCTAGGTTTGAACATGATTTTAGTTTGAAAGGCAGAAAATAGTTACTAATACACGAAATACACGTTTAAAATTTACGATTGCATCCATTACTTAATACTTTTTCAAAAATATGTAAAAAATCCATTTTATTTATAAATAGTAAATGATAACCATAGTATAATCCATTGAGCATTTGTTGTCTAGACATTCTTTCTTAATAATTGGCGCGAAAAATAACTGCCCACATAATGAGTAAGATTGTATCACATACGTGTCTTTAAAAATACCTAAGAAAAGAGCATCCGTTTTCCTGTGTTTATTTTATTAAATTCTATTATGTAATAAGTTTATCAATTAATTTTAATTTCTGGTCGATTCTAACGAAAAGTTTAAAGTGAAAATCGTCTTCAATAATTAACAGTATAAATATTTATAGATTTGATATAATGGCAGGTAATTCAAGATTTTCATTAAGTGATGATGAAAAGCTACTTAATGAGATAAATAAACACTCATTACTATTTAAAAGAGATAAATCACATCAATGTGCCCATTTTATGTCCCAAAAACAACTTATATGGAAAGAAATTGCGAAAAAACTAGATAAAAAAGGTTAGTACGTACAAAATACGTAACAGAAAATTTATTAAAAAATTTTAATAATAAAAATAACTACAATACAGGATGATTATATTAACATTAATCGCTTAAATACTTTCAAAAATAAAATAATTTTAACAATATTTAATGTTAGACTTTTTAATTAACGATATAATGTCATTTTTGAGTTCACCCCTTATGCCTCGTAAAGGTATCAAATTTAAATTATTTAAAGACAATTAGGAGGTGCGGATCCAGATAAATATTTTGAGGAAGGGGATTTCACCTTTTTTTTTAAGTGATTTTTTAGCTATTTTTTTCTTTTTTTAAGAGAATCATTATTTAGAAAATAATTCTAATTTTGGAGTGACAGTGCTTCCATGGCTCACTTTATGACGTCTGATAGAAATGTATAACTTAAAAATAGTGTTATAAAGAAAACGACTGGTCAAAAACGTGTTTTGAACAAATATTTCATAAAGTTTTTAATATTTTAAAATAAAAACAAGTTATGATCATTTTTTGTGACTAATTTTATCATGAGACATTTTTTTAAGCCTTTCTATTACGCCTAGGCATTTTTTCATATTAGTTACGCTCAATAACTCATAATATATAAAGTTACCAAAGTATAAAATATTATATTTATATTAAGTTATCTATAGTTTATTTATATTATATTGTGATTCGTGTCTCATTGTGTACCCTTTCCCCTATGTATTGTACGATTAACAAAAAAAAGTTGATACACTTGTAAGCGCAACAAAAGCGCTTAGTTCTCACAATCGAAGAATTAGCATCCCAAATATTTAGATAATTATAAGTATTGTTACATAATAATATTTTTAGAATAAGAAAAAAAATTTATTTAGTACTCCAAAAATTTCATTTTACTTTCACCTATTAACAGTTGTGCATACAAGATATAAATGATAGACAATATCTAGACATAGATAACAATCAAGAATTATTGCTACTTATAAAATCTAAAAATTCCCTTAATTTTTTATTTTTTTTTGCAGCAAATTAAGTGGTTAGCGATCATTCTGTCTCTAAAATATAATTTCAATTGTTTGTTGTAGAAAACGAAGTAAAAAAACGATGGAAGTCAATAAGGTCTACTGCAAGTAGAAGTAAATATAAAAAAGTTAATAAAAAATATCAAAAAACGAAATGGTCAATGTGTTCCTTATGGGATAAACTTTCTTTTTACACGGAAGTATCAGAAGTTTCAGAAAAGTAAGTTAAATATATGGGTGCAGTGTAATGATAAAAGATTAAATGAGTAATAGAGGAAGAGAAATTATCTCAAAAATATTTAGAATAGAAATTTTTCAGGAGAAAGGGCTGAAGAAATTTTTATTATTGTTTCATGAAATATATTATTTTGATATCATCGCATGACCACATTGTGGGAATGAGCGGAACCCCATTCTATAAATTCATTCCTACATATGACAATATATATAATAGTACTAAAAGTAACTATATAACAGAAAATATCTTTTTGATACGGTTAAAGAGTTTCAATTTAAAAAGTAAAAATTTGTATTTAAATTAATTAACTTAGGTAAAAATAGGCAAGTACGTTATATTTAGTTTTGCCGTGGGTCCAAAGAAAAATTGTTTAGTTTTAGTTGTTAAAGTTATGGACAAGAACTGCCTATGCTCTCAGACCTGTAGGTCATCTGTGGATATCTACTTCCGGAATATTAATAATAATATTATATTAATATATTAATTCAGTTTAAGAAAAATCGTTTACTAATTTATAATAAAATTGTCTTGTTATTAAACCACAACTAAAAATTTTAACTTTAAAAGTAATGGGTCAAAACCTAATTGTATATTTGGCTGTGATTTTTTGATTACTTCATAAAAATAATTAATTACGTTTAAAACTATTTTTGTCGTAATCTTTTTTCATTTTTTAAAACAAATTATTACTAAGAACTAAAAAAAAAAATGTATTAAACGAGTTAAAGTTATAAACTACAGCATCGAAATTTATGAAATAGTAAACGGAATACTCAGAATTAAATTAGAGAATGCAGGGAATGCCCTTTACTTATCCTATTGTAGGAACATTTTTGTGTAATAAAAAAAGTTCATCAACTTAAAGTGACTGATCTCATTTGTATAAGAAACTTTAAAACTATCTTTGTATGTACTGTAACTAACAGTTTCTAACGTTACTCAATATTTTACACTTTTTTTTTAAAGATAGAAGTGATAAATAACTGGAATATAAAATAAAAATATTATTCAATATAATATATTGAGTAATATTATATTATAATATCAATTATTTTTAAGGTTTATCTACTTTTTATTATATTATACATCGTCATCATCATTGTATTAAATAATTATGTAATAATTTATAAAAATAATATTTGGTTTGAAAATTTCTACGAATTAACAAATCTTCTATGAAATTTAAGTATTAAAAAATACATTACTGTATATTTATTTTTTATTTTTCTAAAAGTTTATGACTTTTTGAAGACATTTGAAGAAAATTGGAAAATAAAATAAATCAATTTTTTTGAGACTGTGATAACATGTATTTTCTTTTTCTATCTATTATTTACTCGTAATTAATTTTTAAATTAATTTCAGAGAAGTATCTCCAAGTAATAATAAAGATAATTATACATCAGAAAATACTTATACTACAATTAATCGGAAGACAAATGTTTGTTTGTTTCCAACTCAATTGGATTTAAATAATGAAATCGAACATTTTTTCAAAATTGTTAAGAGAGATGTAGAAAAACTACCGAAATTTGGTATTGTTGAAATTAAATTTGAAATAAAAATATTACTTAATAAACTAATAGAGAAGTATTCACTTTTGCAATATGATCCTCCGCTGATAGATGATTTTCAAGATGCTTCGTGTACATTAGAAAATTCAAAAAATAGTGACATTAATTTTTCTAATCGTTCTAATATAAACACAAACTTTGTCAATTTGTCTAATCAATTAAGCAGTTGTAATTTACAATCTATACAAAAAAATGAAAGTGAAAATTATATTTTTTTGTCATTAGATCAAAATGAAAATGCACGTGCATCACTCATACAAGACAATATTTATAGTACACACAATCGGATGGAAAACATTTTGTTATTTCCAGTTGAATTAGACTTGGATGATGAAATAGAAATGTTTTTTAAAAATATTATAGAAAATGCGAAAAAATTGCCGAGAAGAGGTATTATAGAACTGAAATGGGAAGTTAAAATGTTACTTCATAGGTTAAAAGATAAGTTTTCCTATTTACAGTATGATACTCTTTTGATTAATAATTTTCAAGATAAATGCAAATATTCTCGTGAAAAGATAACTAATGATTCGTCATTTCATGGAAAAACTGATTTATTTGAACAATTAGACTATTTTCCACAACAATCCGTACAAAAAGATGAATACGAAAATGATACGCTTTTGTCATTTAATCGAAATGAAACTGAATTAGCATCATATACTCAAGATAATACTTGTACTAAACAAAATCGTATTGCATCAGACATTAAACAGTCATTTTCCCGCGAAAATGATTGTTTGTATTTAACTCGTATAGATTTAGATGATGAAATTGAAATGTATTTCAAAAATATTATAAAAAATACAAAAAAACTTCCGAAAAGAGGTATTATAGAAATGAAGCAAAAAGTAAAAATATTGCTTCGTAGATTACAAGATAAATACTCTAAGTTTAAATTTGATAATCTACAGATAAATGATTTTTGAGATGAAAGCATTTATTAATTAAAAAAAATTCGATACTTTATAATATAGTGACTTCGAATCAATTTCAACGAAAATTTCCTCCGCCTATTTAAGGTTTTTATTCGTTCACATAAAAATTATTCTTGCACTTTAAAACTCTTCAATATAACTTTATTTTAATACTTATTGATTGGCCAATCACTTTTTAGGTATAATCAATTGATAATATTAACAAAAAAGACTAATATTATTTAAGTAAGAATAAGTTTAAATTTAGTTGTTTTAAATGAATGCTACAAATATTTTATTTTGTAGATTAATATTTAAGTGTTAAAGATTTTGTAAGTCGAAAGTTTATCATGCCTATTAAACGATAAGTTAAGTTTAACTTAATCAGACCATGTTTTGTTTTGTTCAATTATATTTGACCCAAAGAAGTGTAAATTTTATAAGAGATTAATCTATGTAATCATTAGACAGCAGAATCATAATACGCCTCTGATTACAATCGATTATGTGATGATGTTACTTGATTATATGAGGAAGCAATTTTTAATCTGTGTGTCAGTATGTGTTTATCGTTGGTAACAGTAACATTGTTTTCCAAGTACATACGCACTGATATTAAAATTTTTTTAGTTCATAAATAAATAAACGTATATATATATTTACATGAAGTTTTTGAAGTGATATATTATTCAGGATTTATTTTATTATTTGGAAGTCTATATTATTTATAATTATATATTAATATCACACACTTTGATGTGTGTATATATATTTTTTTTTTTTAACAAATTTTGTTTGTTGTGAACATTTACATTTTAGCATCGATGTGAAGCTGGGAGGGTGTATTAATATCACTTATACTTGCAAATGATTGCCGTAGTTAAAAACATACTATTTATTTTCAAATTGTATTTAATTTGTATTATTTTATAAGAATTTGCCATAGTCGACCAATATTTATAACATTTACATGAATCTAACTTACATTAAATATAAATTTATATTTATTTTGATTGTTTTGACATATATGTTTTCACATAACTGTGGTCTCCCCTAGTGAGAAAAAATTTCCTATTCATATTAAAATATTTTACTATATGGTATTTTTTGTGCCTGTTGTTAATTTTTCTAAGTTCTCACTTGACCAATTTTAATAACAATTACATTAAAAGAACACGATTTTTATCTTGTTGAACTTATAATCACCAATTATTGGAAAAAATCCTTTAATTTTAGAAATTCAGACTAATATCTTAAAATTAGACTTTTGTAAAAAATGGCTATTTCAAAACATTTTTTTGTATTAAATATCTCCAAGTTAATAGCAGTAGAAATTCGTTTTTAGACTGAATTACACAGTAAAATAAAATATTTTTTAATGATTAGAGACCAATATATACTTTACTTAGCCAAATTTTTACACTCAGTGTCACGACTACACTGTGCTACCGTTATTTTATATTTATAATTTATAAATTTAAGGAAAACAATTTTATTTTTTCAAATAGCGACATATATAATTAACTACCTTATGCTTATTAATTATACAATGAATGAATTAACATAATGATTGGTCAATAGCAACTGTTGGAACAATATTTTATAAATTATTATTTTTATACCCGTGAATTGAATTTCAAGGTAAAATATGTGCGTATATGTGCAATTATTATTTCTCTAGAAAGTCAAAAAATTGGCGAATATAATATTATAATTCTGAGAAATTTGTTTTACATGTAAAAAAAAAAATGATGTCATAAATCATATTGTTTCACTCAATAATGCCGATATTAGAAGCAAAAAAATGGTTTATTAAATTGAATATTTATATTTATTAATCAAAAATAAATGTTTCGAAAAAAATACAATTGTAAGAATAAAACATCTTAACACATTTTAATAAAAATATTATTAAAACAAAGATATTTATTTATCAGTATTTTCCTGGCAATTTTACCTTACTGATTTTTTTTTTTGAAACCAAAATCGTGGCAGAATTTTTTAACGCCATCCTGATCAACTTCTCCATTGCTTACTTTCTGAAGAATATTGTGTGAGAAATCATATAAAATAGATTTTTTAAACATTTTTAACACTTCAGGTTCATTACCTTCAAATCTATAATGATAATTGAATTCAGAAAAATTATCAAAGATTTGTAGTGATGATAATTCTCTATAGAAACGTTCAGTTTCTTTTATAATAAAATAATCACATTTTTCCTTTATAGTGTATTTGTAAATCTTATTATGCCATATTTTCAATTTTTTAAGTGCTTCGAGAACAGCATTAGGCTTATTTAAGAATTCCAATGCTTCAATCATACAATTTATCAAGGGATTTAAATAATGAACAAGTATGTAGAAATGCCGGAAGATCGTATTTTTATGAATATCACGGGTTGTCATTAACCAAATATCTGTTGACAATTTAGAGTGTACATATATTAATGATTCCAAAATGATATAGTAAATTGAACTCAGCAAAATCGAACATTGCTCTAATTTTTCTTGGCCATTAATTTCAGTGACAATAATATTTTCATGTTCGTCTACCCTAATTAAATCTTTTATTGTAAAAGTTTGACTGTCTTTAGTTGTATTATCATAGTGTGTGACACTGAATTCTTCTACCGATTTCCAACCACTTTGACTGAGAATTTCATTGAGTTGGTTAAATTTTATGTTATTTAGACTTGATAAATTTGAATTATTTTTGAAGCCAAAATCGTGGCAGAATTTTTTAACGCCATCCTGATCAACTTCTCCATTGCTTACTTTCTTAAGAATATTGTATGGGAAATTATTTAAAATAGATGATGTAAACATTTTTATTATTTCAGGTTCATTACCTTCAAATTCATAATGATTCTTGAATTGAAAAAAATTATCAAAGATATGTAGTGATGATAATTTTTTATAGAAACGCGTAGTGTCTTTTGTATCAAAATTAGTATAATTTACTTTTACAGTGTATTTGTAAATATAATCATGCAATTTTTTCAATTGTTTAAGTGTCTTGAGAACAGCATTTGGCTATTGAAGAATTTCAATGCTTCAATCATACAATTTATCAAGGGATTTAAATAATGAACAAGTATGTAGAAATGCTGGAAGGCCTCATTTTTATCAGTATCATGGATATGCGATGACTTATAATCACCTAACATTTCATTGTATACAAGGTATAATGGTTCCAAAATGATATAGTAAATTGAACTCAGCAAAATCGAACATTGCTCTAATTTTTTTTGTCCATTAATTTCAGTGACAATTTTTTCATGTTCGTTTAGCCTAATTAAATCTTCTACCATAAAAGTTTGATTTTCTTTAGTTGTATCATCGCATTGGGTGACTCTGAATTCTTTTACCGATTTCCAACCACTTTGACTGAGAATTTCATTGAGCTGGTCAAAATTTATGTTATTTGAACTCGATATAGTTGTAGCGAAAGATAAATGAATAAAAATGAACTGTACTAGTAAAATGTACATTATAAACCGTTGAGGTAATTAGCTTAATATTATTAACTACTTGTATACACAGAAAATAAAGTATACGTATTGTATTGAATATTTTATACTATTTTTTATGTAAATAATCTTAAATTATTTAAAAAATATGTTTACTTAGAAATAATATAGTTTTGGTGTTTAATTTAAATCGATATACACATTAATTATATTTTATTTAAAATAATATAATATTATACATGATATCACTTTAAACCTAAAAATATGTTCTTGTGTTGTTTGATTATGAAGTCAGTTTTTATAATACATGTAAATCGACGTCTCAAAAATATGTTTGGTACAAATGATCAATAAAGTTATTGTTATAGTTATAAATTATACATGTAACATATTATAATCATGCATATAATTATAAACTATACATAATATATTATTTAGAAAAATATCAAAGGTGATCATTCACTTTTTTAATACTAATATCAAAAAAAGTTTTAATGATTTTCATGTAGATTCTCGAAAAAATTTCAATTTTAATATTATCTTTTATTGAAAAATAATGTTCTTTAAATAATTTGCGTTTTCAAACAAGTGTAAAAATGAAGAATATAATATAAAATTAATTATTTAGTAACTATGTGCACTACTAGTGACATAGTTATGGAAAGTCATTTGATACATTTGTACAAGACCACTAGAATGAAAGTCAACGATAAATATTAGTTGTATACCACATATAATTATTAAGGATGTGTAAAATTTTAGCTGATTAACCAAAACGTGTAAATAAATGATATTAAAAATAAATACAACAGCAAACATAAGTTTGGACGATAATATTGACAAATTAAAAGCAGAAATATTTGTCAACACGTACAATTTAAGATAATAATAAAAGTTGTCATTTATTTTTATAAAAGTACTACTATTAAATAAAATATAGTGTTTGTCTGTTTTTGTATTTTGATTTTAAACATATGCGCAAATAGAGAGATATTTGTCTTTTTAGTATCCAAAGCAGATTTCATCACTTTTAAAATTTTACAAGGATAAATAAAATAATGTGAAATGAGAAAAGTGTGTGAAATTTCATCGGAACATTAAGTTATCTACTTTCAAGCTTGTCTTGTTAAATATAGAATTTATTAAGAACGAGTGACGCAGTCTGTTATCACTCGGTTGTAAAACATTATGGCGGGGTTCTATCCCTCATGCTTACTAAATTATATATTTTAGCATATTATAATTTATTTAAGTGAAGATAGAGTAGATCTTATTAATTAAGAATATCTTAAGTTTGTATATTTGAAAAATTATCGGTTATTTTTTGTCCAACGATACACAACCATTAAAAAATGTTAATCGATCAGTTAAATATAAAACTTAATTAATTGAACTTTGACGTTAAAAAAAAAATCAATAACTTTAAAATTAATTATCTGATTTGTTTAATAATTGTATCAAATAAATTATATAATCGTCCCGAGTAACATTTGTAACGTGTTACGTCGGTGTTTAAGTACTGTACTAATAGTACATTATGCACACGGTATCAGAGTGTAGACTAAATACTTTTTGAGTGCATAAAAAGAGTCAATACGCTTTACCTTTCTGTAATAAGAGAAACTCAATATACACTGTTCTCCATACCGACCACAATTAAAATGTTCTCCGTTTAACAGCCATATTCACAAAAAATATGATACCTTGCGAATGTCGTTTTAAGGTGCACATAAAAATCTAGTCTGAGTGCAGTTCTAGTTTATCATCACTTTCTTAGCCTCCACACTAAATATTTGGGATCCTACTTCACGATTTGACAGGATTTTTACACGCTGTCGATCTGATACAACTCATTGTGGCCCAGGGAACTAGTAAGGGAGTAAGGTGCGTGTCGTCACTGTTAAGGCTCCCGTATGATCCATTGCATCATATCACGCCTATTTTATTTCTAGATTTATAATTGGTGAACTATTTTTAAGATTTATCTCTTATACAAACTTCGCCTTTAGTTTATATTTGAAATTGTTAATATTTCCCAAAATGCTGAAACAAAAGTTGTTATCGACATTTCATTTTCATAATCGCATAATTTTCTAATAATTCTATATTAAAATCACTATAATAAAAAACGCTTCGATGCAAATTTATAGATAGTGATAATTTTAAAAAATAGGCGGATTATTCCAACAGCTACATGATTTCTTATTTATATTCAGACTACAAGTTTTATAATTTATAAGTGTAATATATGAATACATATATTTATAATATAAAAGGGAAAGGGACCGAAATAAAAAAAAAGTATGTTGCATAAAAGAAGAATATAAATAGTACTTATCTTAAAAAATTATAATGACCCATACATTATCAAAAAAGTTATAGCATTATAAAATTAAAAATATAAAAAAGAATTTATTTTTAAAAAATGGTATTTTTTTATTAACTTTGATATCCATTTTCACCATGAAAACAAAATAAATTTTTAAAAAATTAAAAAAATAGCTTTTTATAAATTTGTAATTTTTTTTTTGGAGATTACGTCTATTTACGGGGAACGAGGGAATTTTTTACAATTTTTGAGGGTAATGTAATACGGTTTGTGATCTTTTGACGTATCGTTGAAAGAAATCGGTTCGAGATTAAGATGAGAGCTGTGAAAAAGTGGTAAAAGACAGAAAAAAAACATTAATACTTTCTCAGCTTCGCATTGAAGCTAAAAGTTAAGTGGTATTCTTATAAGAAATAAGGGATAATAATTATCTCTTAAATATTTTTTAGAATTATTCTTTAAAATATTTAACGATTTATAAATCAATAAATACTATAAAAAACTAAAATAAAAATGTCAAAATTATTACTTAGAGAAATTTAGTAGTCAAAGATAAATTAATCAGTCTGTATAAATATTTCAACTAAGTTATGATAAGGTTACTAAAAGTGTTGTTGTGTATTAATTTTTAATTTCAAATCAAATCAAACCCTGCTTTGAGGTTACTTATATAAAAAAAAACAATTTGAATAATTTATTTATTATATCAAAAAAAAAAAAACAATGATGTTAAAAATATATATAAATCATAATTTGAAGAATAATAAATAATTTAGTGCATGAACATTAGTTCATTAGTTGTTCATTTGAAATTATACACAATTATGTAAACCTACATGAACTAAAATTCAATTTTATATAACATACTTGCAAAGGCGTAAAGCATTTGAGTAAATGTATTTGAATAAATGTATTTGAATAAATGTATTCAAATACTTTCATTGGTATTGAATAGTATTTTTAAATACATTTAATAAAAAGTATCTGAGTAGTATTTTAAATACAATTATTTAGTATTTAATACTGTTTAATATTCAGTACTATTAATATACTTTTTTTTTTTTAATTTGCTAACCGTAAAACATCAAGTAAGTAATTTTACAGGTAAGTAATAAAATGCATTTTGTAAAAAGAAAACTTCATTATTGTATATTTTACTCAAGTATTACAAATTATTAAGTTTTTTTACCAGTAGTTTAACTCAAAGTAATATTTTCTACAAAATAACACATTATTAACATATATTTAATAACAAAATAACAAAATAGGTTATAAATAATTTACTTAAAAAAACAATGAATAAATAAGAAAAAGTCAAAATAAGTGTCAAAAAAAAAAAAAAAAATTGAGCACCTTGTATGACACATTAAAATTTTGATTATCAGCTTTTCAAAACATAACTTACTTTATTCATTGTCTATTATAATATTTGTATAATACATTATAGAATATTTGTCAAAAACACAGCCTACATGAGCTTAATTCTTCGAGCATTTCAGGATAATTAAAAAAAAAAAAAAATTATTGTATGATTTGTACAAAAAAATGTAAAAAATCAACCAAATTAAATTTTTAAATAGCTATTATCAGTTGAATAAAATAAAATCTATAAATTAAAAAGTACGAACAGAGAACAACATTAATAAAAAATATTATTTACAAATATATAGAATTTTCAGAATTTATTTATTCAAAAATTTTTTGAATAAATATAATTTGAAGCTTTAGATTGATACTTCAAAATTTGTTCTGCTATAAAAAATAAAATAAATAATTCACCATATAATGATAAAAACAGAAATAATTAAAAAAAATAATCTTAAAAATGATTGCTATTCATGAAATAGTAATGAAATACTAATCAAACTAATCATTTTTCAATATTATAAAAAAAAGGCTAGTTAAATTTAACTTTGCTATATAACAGTAGAGTTATTTGAGATAAAATACAAAATATTATATTATTATTAAAACAAACAATAGTATAAATTAAATTAAAAAGTAAAAATATATCACATTTTGTATAAAACAGTAATAGTAAACTAATTAGAAAAATTATATGTAAACAGAAATATTTTTAATAATTTATTTTGTTAAGTTTATCTTTGTTATTATTTAAATATAATTCTTTGGAATAAAATTAATTTGTTTGTATTGCTAAATTGGTTTTAACATTATTTAGTCTAATGACTAAATTATATAAAAACATTTAAAAATTTTCACTTATTCTTACAGTAAGAATTCATACATTATTTATTGATCTTAAAATTATATAATAAAATAAATTAGGCTAATGAACAACTATTTGGAGATTGTTGGCTAATTACTGATACAGAATCAAGATCTTTTACATTATTTTGTAGATTATCAGCTCCTAAGTCTAATGAAATAGAAGGACGATTGCTCTCAATATTCTGTGTATGATCATTAATTTCTATAGTAGAATGACTACCACCAGTTCCTTCACTCGTAGATCTAGACCTTGAAGCTTGAGTAAGAACACTAGATAATGAAGATGATGATGCCTGGGATGCTACGACAGGAGTTGGTTGCTTAGATGTTAAAATTCGATTTAATGCACCAATTTGGGCTTGACAAGTTGACATAAAAGGTCTATAACCAAAACTAAAAACAAGTTTTCATATTCTATTAATATTATATAAAGGAATTTATACATAAATTACAATTAAAAGAAATGGTATTTTATGTTGAATTATATTATACAAACTATCTATATAGTTGACTGAAGTGTAAAGAAAAATTTAAAAAATATACAGAGTAGTCACAAAGATTTGACAAACCAATAACTTTTGATACAATTATCATTTTGTTGAATTATTTTTAAATAACAATTGGCTTGACTATATTTAAATATATTTTTTTACTATTTGTCATAAATAAGAAAAAATTTGAAATAACCATTTTTTAGTCCTTTTCTATAAATATGAGTCAATAATAATTTTAAGACAAGCATTCATTGAGTTATAAGCATTTAATAAATAAAGTGGTTGTGCAACACGAGTAAGTGCAACCCATACTAATGTATCGATGCCTATGCCCACTTTCCATACTCACTCTATATATTAAAATGTTTGTAACTTAATAAGCAGTTGTCCTAAAATTGATTTTTATTTTATTTTTCTTATTAGTGATAAATAATAAAAAATATGCTTTAACATAGTCTAAGAAGGTATTTAAAAAGAACAAATTCAACAAAATGATAATTGGATCAAATTTTAATTTTAGCTAATAGATTCTCATAAAATAATAATTAAAATAAGAAAAAATTTTTTTTCGTATTTTTTAGTTATTTATAAATATTAGGAATAATCCTATTTTAGCTTCGATGCGAAGCTGAGAAGGTATAGGTTTTACTATGATGTTTTTTTTGTGTCTGTACCACTTTTTTTCAGCTCTCACTAGACCGATTTCTTTCAACGATACGTCAAAAAATCACAAATTGTATCTAGTCGAAGACATTACCCTCAAATATTGAAAAAATTTCCCTCGTTCCCCGTAAATGAGGAAACCTCCAAAAAAATTACAAATTTAAAAATTGCTAATTTTTGAAATTTTATACTTAAAACTGCCACAACTTTTTTAAAAATGACTAAATCAATATAAATATTTTTTATAGATGCTTGATGTCTTTATCTATTATTTGGTATATTTTTTAATAAATCTGACCGTTTACCTGCCTATAGGGGGGGATTCAAAACGACAACTTTTTCACAAAAAATTTACTTTTTCAACTTAACTTTTGAAAGTGTTCCGGAAAGTCTGACACTTTTATATATATATTAAATTAAAGCTAATGTAATGTACTTTATTATGGAAAAAAATGATGAACTTTATTTTGTCTTCATGGTGAAAATGGCTACAAATGCTATTTTTGTGTGAAAATTCTCAATTTTATTTTTTACATTTTTAACTTTATAATGCTATAACTTATTGAAAAGTGTATGGATCAACACAATTTTTATATGAGAAATAATATTTATATCTCTTTTTCATTTGACAAACTTTATCTTAATTAGGATATAAATAAGGAAATAGCAGATCATGTAGCTTTTGGAATAATCCACCAATTTTTTAAAATTAAACACTATCTAAAGATTTGCATCGAAGCGTTTTTTTTTATAGTGCTTTTAACCATTGTCAGATATCATTATACTTGATCTAACTAAGCCACGTCACCACTGTGCTGGGTTTTTTTTATGTTTTTAATTTATAGATATTTTTTGATTTACCAATTATTAATTATTTTTTAAACTTATCCCTTATATTTAATAATGTTGACGTTTTTTTTAAATGAAATTTTACATATTTAACTAGCTAATAAAATAAAAAATGGTATAACTAAGAAAACTTTTGGTAATAAATTTTTTGAACAAGTACTTCGGAAGTTCTTAATATTTTAAAATATAGAGTGGAAGAAAAGGATATCAGAGAAATGTTTGATGACAAAATAATATACATCACCCCATTCCTCCATTTTATAATTAAAAATGTTAGTTTCTTTCGAAGTACAAATGTAGTTTTGAATCAATGACTTTCTTTATTATAAAATTTTTTGTTTTAAAAGTTAGTTAAGTATGTATGTTGCCATTAAAAAAAAAAGTTGACACTCTCATAACGTATAACAGACGAATTAAAAAAGTAATTAATAGCTGATAAATCAAGAAATATATGAAACTAAAAACACCAAACATGATTTTTTTAACATAATTATATTTTAAGAGAAATAAAATGGCTAGCGCTAAATGAACCATTTTCTAATTGCGATAATTTGTTTGGATTTACAAAATAAGTTAAAGATATTAATATTTACCATTCATTACAACTCCATTGATATAAAACAACAAATGCTTGTTTTAATCGAGATACAGAATCAAAACTATAATCAGGAGAGCGCGATATAGATACTAGTCTTTGAACTGCTAAAATATCTCGGAGAAATACTGAAACAATGAAACTCCATTCTAAACATCCTGCTTCAATTAATAATTGTAACAAATACCTATTAAAACAAACATGATAGTTAATTAAGAATAAATAATTAAAAATAATATATTTAAAAAAATCTATTTATTTTTTTTAATTTACCTAAGCTGAACTTCAGATTTTGTTGTGTTAATTGATAGATGTTCATTTGATAATTGTTCCAAAATATGAGCATTTGGAATAATATTCCAACTATCAATACTAGACTGAGCCCTTTCATCATTCCATAAGAGTGCTTCTTCAGATTCACTAACAGTACTAGCTTCATCTAAAGTTTACAAAAAATACATTTTTTTAATGTTATTTATTCATAATGTTTTTCTTTGAGCTGTTAGTAAGTTAGTAAGGCCACTTAAATAGCTTAATTAATTCAAGGCTAATTTATTATTATTCACTAACCTATACCAGTTAAAAATCCATCAATAGGATACTGTGGTGATAAGTGTGGCACATCATGACAACTCATGTAACCACTATCACCAATTGCACTTCCTCCATCAATCCATTTTGACTTATCTATATTGTTCATAAAACTAGAAGGTGGTGTTGATCGTTTTTGAGTAATATTTGATGAATTATTTGAAGAAAAATCTGTATATATGCTACGTAATGCTAAAACATAATTTTCAATTCGGGCAGCACCATTACGCTCTTTAGCTAACCATTCAACTAAATGAAAATCTAAATGTGCAGCAAAGTACCCAAGAGCTCTTAATTTATAATTAACCAATAATTTTTTTGCATGTTTATGAAGAATTGTGTCTGTGAAAAATTCTTCAGAAATTGAACTATATGTATAAATGTTTTCTTTACTATAAATAATCAACAAAACAAATGTATTAAATTATACTGATTATGAAATAAAAAAAAAAATGATACACAAAATTTTATACCCATTTTCAGATTTTCCAGTGGAAAGAACAGATTTTTTTCTTTGTGCATTGTTGGGTTCTGTTTTTACAAATGTAGAATTCATGTCTACCTTTGGTGTAGTACTAGTACTTATACTCCTTCCTCTAACCTAAAATTTTACATTTGATTTTTTGTTTTAATATAAAGAATGATTTATATTATTTTTGTAGAATAAATTAAAAAAGATGTGATAAATAAAATATTATTGATTAAGTATTGAAACTTATTTCTATATTTTTATAAGTCACAGTTAATCTAATTAGACTCTAGATCATTAGTGAGCTCAAATTTTAGATACAGATGTACTAAAAAAGTAAAAGGAACATTCTAAAGTAGTGAAACTTTCGTAAATGTTTATTAGCCATAATATAGCTAATTTTTACTCCCTTATGAAATTATGTATATTCATACAAAAATATTTCAAGAGTTGTTTCTTCCCACAATAGTTAACCATATTACATAAATAAAATATGAAAAATAGTCATAAATAACATAAACTTTTATATTCATACTTAACTTCAATTCATTACATAGCTAAAATTTGAAAGCAAATTTATCTGATTTTTATTTCATATTATAGTTAATTAACAAACAAAAAATTGATGTTCTAGTCAATTTTTGACTTTCAAAATATGAAATATTTTGAAAGTTGACTAAAAAACTCTAATAGGTCTAGTTAAATAATGACAAAACATCAAAATAAGTTATCAAAGGTAATATACATCAGTAAATACCTGAATATTTCCCATCAAGAAAGATAAGTCTTCTTCATTTGGATTCACAGTTGTTCCTTGTCCCATCATACTATATTTTGCAGGAAAAACACATGAAGTTTTTGGAGAATCTGCATCATTTGGATCTAAAAACATTTCAAAATGTATAATTTAATAAATAAATAAAAAATATAAAGAAATGTAAAATAATTGTTTAATTTTCAAGAGAAACTTTTAAAAAGGGGGACTCTTTGATATGCTTTGAATGAATATTTTGATAAGCTACACTTATTTTATTATTTAGAGTAAACAAGATGATAAAGTTATTTATCATGTACTGGTAAAATAAATTAAAAAAATATTTGAAAAATTAAAATATTCAGATAATAAATATATATATATATATATACATATTTAAATTTTTATATAGGAAACAGTTATTAAATGATTTTTAATGTTGTTTTATTATTGATTATACAAAAAATTCTATGGAATTTTTAAACAAGATAGTGTTTTAAAATCATCAATTATTTATAAATAATTCACTAATTTGCTGATATAAACTATAGTATTTTATTAAAAATTCCATTAATTGTCTTACCAATTGCTTTTAAGAATCTGACAAGATCCTTTGACAAATCCCATCTACAATTTTCTAATGCAGAATTTAATAATAATGTTGCATATTTACAGCTAACTAATGAAGACTCCAAATTCTAAATCAAAATAAAAATTTATATGATAAAAAGTTACCAAATCTTTATGTACTTTAAAATCTCAATAAGTTATAATAATTTATAGTTATAACAAAATTACTTGAAGTATTATCAGATATGAAGCTGCAGTATTTAAGTTTTGTCTTTTCATGCATTCTTGAAATAAATCTTTAGGTTTCCCAGCAGCAGAAAATAAATAAGGCCATAAAGCAATTTCTGTTTTTCGAGCACACTGCACAACAGTTTCCAAGTACAGGCTAGGAAATTCTTGTATAAATTCAATAACACTAGGTAATTGAGCATCTGGAATTGGCTCTTTACTCGTAGCTTCTTCTTCTAAAACCTTAAATAATTTTTAAGCATATTGTTGATGGCTAACTATTACCTTTTATCTCAAAAATCAACTTTTCCAAAGAGAAAAAATGTTTGATAAATGGTTAATAACACAGTAACAGCAAGGTTGCAAACCTATAACTTCTTAGAAACAAACTTAATAAGGTATGTTATTTTTCTTTGCTTTTTTATTATGTATAAATCACAAAATATTTTTTGAGATACGACATATCAGGTACCTATTGACGATATGTTAACAATTCTATATGATTTTATAACATTATACATACTTCGTGTAATAACAGTTCTAACGAATGAGAAAAGTAAGGTAAATTAGTACAGCATCTTGCAACTTCCCACGCATGAAATCCTAAATTTCTTCGAATCAATTGTCTTAAAATTTGATGTAAATAAACTTGACTCTAAAAGATGATATCCAATAAGTACTGATTTTTTAAATACATAAACAAATTATTACTGTTCGTTCAACTTGACAAAAAGGTAGTGAAAATACAGATGATGAATCAGATGTATAAAGAAACGTATCATTTTCAGCTCCCAACATGATAGCATCTTCAAATAGAATTGCTAAAAAAAAATTACATATTTACTTTATACTTGGACCTTAAGGTTTAAATTTAACTTGTTTTTTTTTATACATTTCATTGATATTTTGAACTTTTATTGATTACCTAAAGGGTATATTTTAAGCTGAAATGGCAACATAATTCTTTTTGACATAAATGTGTGTGATTTATCTCCATTTTTAGGAAATAAGGGGAGCCAAACTCTCATACCATGAGCACCACAAAACAACCATAATGCTTCAGTAAGATGAGGCTTATCACGGCGATATTGACTTGACACCCAAGCATTTTCTACACAAGATGCCAACAAAATAGGAGACGGAATTACTTGTGTCTAAGTAAAATAACAATTACAATAATTATAATGAACATAATTTTAATTTTTTGTTTTATAATAAAAAAAGAGTAGCTTAGCTATGTTAATAAAATTTATAACTTATAAATACTTTGTTATTTATAATATAAAATTCTGAAAAAAATTATTTTAAATAAAATTCAATAAAAAAAAAAATCAGTATACTCAGTGCTAGGAGTAGAATAGTAACAAAAATTTGATGAGAAACTAAAAAAGTTTTAATTAAATGGAAAACTAATTGAAACATTTTTTTCATAAGATATCCGTTTTAATACATGAATATTTATGGGTAAATTCACAGACAAAATATTAGAGCCGGCAACGCAGAGACTCAACATTATATACATGTAATAAGTATGGCCTAGTGGTCAATCAAAATAAAGCAGAGGTAATTATATTCAACAGAAGAAGAACAGAACTTGATAGTTTAGACACATTTATCCTTAACAGACACGAAATGGGCATTAAGTTAGAGGTAAAATACTCATATTCTAGACAGCAAGCTAAGATAGAAATCACATATTGAAGTAAGAATCAAAAAACCATGGGCTATATGGTGGATATACACTTTAGTAATAAATTATATCGTTTTGTATGATGCCTTGGTATGGTAGATTAGAACAAAATTTATTACAGTTAAGAAAGGACTTAAATACATTCAAAAATTGGCTACCATTGTCATTACCAGAGAAATAATAACCACACATGGGCTCAATTTTGTAAACCTAGATACCTTAAGTAGTTGAGCTCTATGTATTCTTCATAGTATTCTTTGTATGATTCAACAATTCTTTACTATCTTGTTTGGACATCTAGCTATTTTTATTTAGAAGCAGTCACCATTTTTCTAGCGCTTAATCATGCTTTGCCAATGAGTTTGCTTTTTTCAATGCTGAGTTTAAGTCTAGATGTGTTTTTCCTACAACTTTGTTGAAACAGTTGTTCTATCCTTTGTTCAGATTAATATTTTATTGTTATTCAACTAGTGTGGTGTCATATTGATTCTACAAAACCAATAGATAGCAAGAAGAGACAGCTTTTAGAAACCATACTTGGCTTTTATTTAATAACTGTAAGTAATGTTAAATCGCAAAAACTAGCACTCACCCATCTATAGAAAATAAGAAATCTTTTGTCAGCAAATGTTTATTGATATCTTTCTGGCAAGACTTCAATCATGGAGGAGATCAATCTCAGGATTAAATTTTGCTCACGTCCCCCTTATGATCTTTGATAATATATCTTTTCATAAGAAAACGGTATAGCATACCACGAGAAAGATCTTCTAACTCAGTATGAAACTTTTGAGCACATGACTGTTTGGGATGTTCTTAGACTATTTTCTTCAAACTCAAATTAATCTTTTCCAGTTTGCACTTATTGTAATTGGGTAAATGTTCATGTGGAGAATGTGCAATGCTATTGAAAATTATTATTTCTGCTCAAGGTTCTGGCTGATTTGCAATCATACTACCCTTATATTCCTCCAAACTCAATCACTGACACTGCCAATGTCGACAAACACTCAAAAATTTTGAGTAATAGTACACATGTCCATCAAGAATTGGAAAGTTTCCAACAATTTCTGCACTGACGTTTAATTAGTAAAAATCTACATACTTTATTATACAAAAATCCAATTACTTTAATTGAATTTTGTATTTACTTAATGTGTTTCACTGGTAACATTTTTATTTTACATATTGAAAAAATGTATAGGTGGAACAAAAGTCTTGCAAAATTTTTGTTTTTAGAAAAATATGTCTAATCTGTTAGAAAATAGTCTAATTAAAAAAATGACTGGTCAATAACAAATTTTTAACCAGCAGTTTTGAAGTTACGACAGTTTTTACACTTGAATAGGAGGAGTAAAGCAGCAGACAAATGTGTAATAATAAAAATAACATAACCTGCAAATCACCTCCAGAATAAATATTAAAATATTAATAACTTCCAAAATACTAATTAAATATATCATCATTTCCTTAGTTGGATTATTTTCTACTATATTTTATCGAATAAAATTATAACATATTTATGTGAATGGATGGGTCACCGTACTGGTGTACACCAGCATATGAGTCAGTTGTCTGTCAGGACCAGAAGGCATATGTAGGCGCTGCGTTACCGTGAGTTGCTATATAAATTTTATTTCTAATGTGTTGTACAACAAAATAATTAACAGTTAACATATTGTAATTCAGTTTCAAGATATTTTTAATCTTAAATAAATAAATAAAATATATTATGATTACATATATAATATTGTGCGCCGTGTTATGATAAATTATTTTTATAGTTTATCTTCCTGAATTATGTATCAGTTATTATATATAAACTTTTTAATCTGATGTAATTATTAAAATAAAAAATTAAGTTTGTACCCTTATAACGGACAAGGAATGAACCTAAAAAAATGTTAAACCACTTATAAATCAAATAATAATAAATTCTACTCGATAAAATCAAGGAAAAATTTCTCAAAATTATTCTTATAGAAGATGTTTAGTGGTCAATGATAAAAAATCACTATATAGATTTTGAGATAAAAAAAAGAGCTAAATACAAAAAATAATACAAAATATAAGAATTGAAAGTTTCTATGCTAATTTATGAAAAATTATTTCTAAAAGGCGAGTTTAAAATAATTAGCGTATTAGGCCATTAATACAAATAAACAAATAGGAAAAAATTGAATAATTTATTTTGAACATACCTTATCATCACAACTTTGCTGATTGACTAATAATAAATGACCATTTATATTTAAAAGAAAATTATCTCTAAAAGTTGAACCTTTAGTTTTAGGTTCAATTCGCAGAGTAGTTAAAACAACTGAAACAACACAAGTGGGATGAATACACAAAGCTGACATATCAATTGTTTGTACTCTTTCTAATACAGCTAAAATTTATAATGATAATTTAGTATATTATAAAAAATTGCATAATATATTGAGAAAATTTACCCATATTGTTATTAGGTGATAATTCAATGTTAAATAAATTTACAATCCCGTCTGAACAAAATACTGCTAATCGATTTTCCAAACAGTCAAGTAACAATGCTTGTCCAGTTAGACGATAAGCAATCATATTATCATTGGATAACCTTGAATCACCATTGTAAATTCGCACTTGATGTTCATCTTCAGGTACACTATAACATCCACAAACAATGTAACATTGCCACCATAGAACTCCCCCAGTCACAATCATATCTTTTTCTTGTATTTCACTTCCAAATAACTTCCAACGATGTGTTATTAAGGAATAATGAGCAAGACCACATCGCCCAGCTATTGCTATATGTTTACCATTATCATCTATGCAGGAAGTCTATAAAATAAAATAATATTTCATATAAATAAATCAATATTTACTAAACAAATATTTACCCTTATAGGCCAATTAGTGGCTAAATATGGAGAAGGAGCATAAACAATTATCCATTGCTTATTTTCAACTAATGCGCTAGTTACAGTCACCTGATCTTTATCACTATTGTTAGCTTGAGTCATCTTATACACTTTGGTTAATCCAGATGTCAAGTTGAGATAAAGTTTGTCTTCTCCCTGAAGATATAAATGAGGACGATGGGTCTGTAAGAAGATTTAATATTATATTTACACTTTTTATTCTAACAATATTTCATAATATTAGATCACAATTACAATTTTTTTAAATATGTTGACTTTTTTTGTAATAAAGCAATTGGGAATCTGGTCTTTTTAAAACAGAACTATTCTGAATTTAAAACCCTCATTTTCCATTATATGTATCTATAGTCAGATGAATTCTTGTTTTTGGTTTTATTATTGGCAAACCTTATCAAATAGGTCTTAAAAAAACTTGAGAAAGTTCAAAGAGATTTTTTACATATGGTTACTTACAAAATTTGATCCGATGAGAATATTTAAGATGTTGCAATAAAAAATTTAAATTACTACATTAGAGTATAGACGTAACTAGCTAATAGCTTTTTTTTTTTACAACAATTATTAAATAATATGGTTATATAAGAAACATTAAATAAAATAATTTAATATTTAATATAAATAATATTAATAGTTTTTATTTCTGTATTTATGAAATGAATGTATACACATTTTACCCATTAAGGGTGTACTATGAATAAATACATAAATAAAAAATAATACATTCATCTTCAACATTTTAATTGTCATAATGGATTATTCCAAAAATAAACTGAAAATAATTTTAAAAGAGGGTGCAAAATAGTGTCTTAAATTTTTTTTAAGAAGTTGTCATAATTGTAGTGAACTTATATTTTTTAAATGTAGAGATTTTCAATCACTGGTTACTTGCCATTTTGATGTAATACAATATATTTAATTATTTTGCAACTAAATATTCAAGTTACATACATAAAATATTACTTTTATATTAAAATTAATATAAATAATAAAAACAAAGTAACACATAATGTAATCTTTATGGGAAGGTAAAACTTTGAAATTATTCATTCGAAGACGCAATCTAGGAATTATAGAGGGAGCCTGCTCTAATTGTGTCACAACACCTTAAAAAATTATTAATAATTATACATTTTTAAGAAACATTTTTAAGGGGAGAAATTAAGTTAGATCCCCAAACACCTAATTGCACCTAAGTGTTAATTTCAAAATAAATTTTTTTCAAGATCAGTCACTCACAGTGCTTTATGCTACATAAAAAATTATAAGTTATTATCTTATTTTATACTTAATAATAATTATTTTATAAAAAAAACCCACCATAGTAGGATTAACTGACAGAGCACTTTTCAAAAATGACATTTGTAAAACTAAATCTTCATTTTTATCTTTAGGTGCTTTATTAATCATCCATAATTGATATCCTTCAATGGACCAATCCATTGATATAATATTGAGTGGATTTTTAGAGTTCAAATCAACGTTTACACTAAAATTCCATGCTAATGAACAAACTAAAAGAGCACCAAAAGTACTCCACACAGCAAATCCACCATTTTCCCATGCCATTACTAAAGCACAACCATCAGGAGTCCATCTAGTACATCGTACAGCTCCTAAACCTCCACCAGGCCATACTTGACTAGGAATTATTAAATGGTGTGATAACTGGAGACCGCCAGTTTGTTCATCCAATGCAAAAACTACACCTTGAGAACTAAAATATAAAATTTCAACATAATTTCTTATTAAATGAATAAAACGATAATAAACATACTTTTTTAATCCATAAGCAATTAACCTATATTTATGGTTTAAACTGGTACATGTTCCAGTTTCAATATTGGGTGCCCAGATTCCTTGGACTTGCTGAAATATTCAAACAATATTTATATCTTGTAAAAGTAATATATATATATATATATATATTAACAATTAAAATTAAATATCAAGTCCATTTTTGAAACAACATAAGCTTGAACTCTCTTATTTTTCATAGGTTACAAATTTTAAACAGATAATGATTTACAAGCCATTTTTTTATTATTTAGATTTCAACATTTTATTTTAATTTAGATGTTAAACAATTTATCATTTCTTTGTCCATGAGTATGATCAAGTTAAGACTTTGTTAATTAATAATAATATTAAAAAATAATTATTAACTTAAAATAAAAACTAAAATTTCTTACATTAGGATCAAATTTTAAAGATGAGGCAGTAAGAAGAGCAGCTCGGCCATCATTTAATATAATTCCAAATCCTCCAACTAAAGGTGAATACTCCATATCAATAATGAATGTATTTTTTGTAGTTATAGGAGCAGCTGTATATTTAAAAATTATAAATAAACATACATTTATCAAATTTAATTATGTTTATAAAATATTATAGTACAAGGTGTTTATAAAATAGTTTCTATTGCTCATAAAAATTGAAAGGATTTCTTAGTCATTAAATAGTTTGTATAATAATAACCTATTAAAAAGACCTAATATTAAGACGTATAAGATGATTTTATAGTTAATAATTTTGTTTATTTAAATACTTTCTACTGTTAAAATAACAAAGTATACATGTAAACATTTAAACATAATACAAACCATTAGATACATGTAAATCAATAGAAAATGGAATTCTACGAAGATCTAAGCAATAATCTCGATTTATAGACCCATTCCAGTAATACCTCAAAACATGGCCTTTACAGGTAGTTACCATTAATTCATCGCGAATACAAACTAAACAACCAACCCCACCATCCACACAAGCAATTTGTATCTGTAATTAAAATTGGGAAAATTTGTAAAAAAATAAAATCAAATTATTAAATAAGTAAAATACTTGATGAATATTTAACGACGGTATGATTTCTTTAACAAATAATTCATCATTTTCTCTTTTGAGACTAGAAATTTGTGAGTCTTCTAAGTTATATAAACCATTTGATTCACCAATTATTTTCAAATCATAAAATATCAAATAACCTTTGGTAGTCTAAAAAAACAAAAAATAAAATTAATAATTTACATGAAACAGTCATAATTCTATAAAAGCATAACACTGACCACAATAACTAACATACTAGAATCTGGTCGCCATTCCACAAGACAGTTGAACCCAATTTCTTCTAAATTTTGAGTAGATCTAGTGTAAGATGTTATTTTTACACATGGCTATAAAAAAATATATTATTTTGAGTTGGGTTGGATTGGATAATGATTTATTTGATTTTTAGAATTTAACTATTTTTTAGATTGCATCAGATTTTATAAATATCATTGTTCTTTAAATTATTCAATATATATATATATATACATATTTTTTAACTTTTTAAATGTTTTTATTTTTAAATATTTGAAATACTAAATACTTATAAGCATGTGTATTTTTATTTTTTTATAATTTTGAAAATTACAAGATAATCATCAATATCTGAACCTTATATTTATGAACAAACAATAAAATTATTAATCATATATTGTAGGCAATTCATAGAACTTTAATTATGCATTGTAACTTATGTATTATTCATAAAATAATTCAATTAAATTTGAATTTTATTTATAATATGTATGAAAAAAAATAAAAAATAGTATATTGAAATCAGCAACAAACCAATGTCTCTTCTAAAATTGAATTCTTTTGGGGAAAAAATGTTCAACAATGTATTCAAAATACATTTCAAAAACATTTACAATAATACTATAAGTATTTAGGCTAAGTTTTAATATAATGTTTTTATGATTATATTATGTGTTTTTTTTTAATTAAAATTTTGTACATTTTCATACATTAATATTTAGGGATTTAAATTTTAAGATAGTCAATAAAATGTAGATTGCTTTATAAAATACAGTTATTTACTTTTATTAACTAAACTGTACACAATGAATAAGTAACTAAAAAAGTTGTATTATGAGGTATTTAGATTTACATTTAGCTCTCTTCGTAATAAATTCCTTCAAAATATAAAAAATATGGTTTGTATTAGAATTAAACTACTTAGAAAATTGATAAACTTTAGGATGAAATCAGAGTTTATTTTATTTTTGATCTCCTGATAAGTGTAAAAGTAAGATAATGTGTTATTCATTATGCATATCGATATAGACATTCTAAAAAAAGTCTTACTTTGCAATACCAAATCTCTAATTTTTCATTAGATAGAACGGCAAACAGCAATTTATCCCTGTTACATACAACTTGGATAAGTGTTCCAGCCCCATGAGCAGGGGCCAAAACTTTTGGCCAACCGACTGGAAAGTACATTTTTGTAAATAATAACCTGATTTACTAAGATAGCCAAAAAATTAACATTACTAATTTACAATAATGAATGAAAATATAAACTAGTTTTTAAACTATAACATAACTTCACTTGAACTACATATTAAATTTGATATTTTATCACTAGTCTTTATATAATTTATTATTATTATTGTGGTATAAATATTATCATTTGAAAGACGTTGCACCTTGGAACTAAACACCATAGATAACAATATCAAAATACTGCAATGATAACATATGAACTGTAGCTTACAACTAGATAGCAGCATAAGTTCTATTAATTCAAAACAAAAAAATACTACTCTAGAATCAACTCTCAGATTTCAGCAATTAATTAAAATTTGATACACTTTTTCTCATACATCTAAATTAAAAAACCAACTTAAAAGTATAATGAAATAAAAAAAGTTAAAGAATTTTTTTTATTTGAACTAACTTGATAAAGGAGATTAGTGTTACTGTTTAAAACCAGAAATGTGTACAAATTAAAAACATAAGAAATGGTGGAATTTTAGAACTCTAATGGTAAAAAAATAGTAATAAAAATGCTTTGGAATAGAATTAATTTATTTATAATAATAATTATGTATTAGGTATATTTAATAATGATATTAAAGGTACATTTAATATTAATTTTAATTATTTAATTTATAAATGACAAATAATCTATTACATAAATAACATTCTAGACTAAATTTAGGAATATTATTTAATAAACAATTTCATAGCAATTGATATATTTTTTAGAGTAAATATTTTTAATTAAATTCGAGTAACTTCAAATATTATTTAATATCATTGTTTTTGAGTAAAAAATTCGTTTATATTTAAATTGTATCTTCATCAAAATGAACACCAATTTGTACTCTAATTGTATCCATTAATTCCTGAACAACACAACTACTGTTGAGATCGAGAAACGGTGATTCTATTAAGCCTGTTAATTAAAATTATAATTTAAAATTAATAAACAGAGCTAACAAAAAAAATTAGAATAACCTTTTTTTAAACACTGTCTTGCATGTTCTGCTTCGTATCTCAGTTGAACACTATTTTCATATATTGTGGGTTCCTTTGTTTTTGGCAATTCAAAAATGTGGTCGACACCATTAATTGTCACTTTTGTAGATGTGTGAAAGAAATGGTGGATCTAAAACACGAAAATTAATATCCCCGATATTTAATCTTATTGAAGATAGTCGTTTTATTAATTTAAAACTGAAATTTATATTTCCTAACTTAAAAAAATTACATTCACTTTTGTTTAAAATTTAAGAATTTTAGAAAAATATAAATATTAAATCGTATACAGTGAGTCTTGTAAATATTTGGCCATTATCTAGAAAAAATAATTTACTTCTCGAATTTCTATAAACTTTAAGAAATGTTAAATCATTTGCTAATGGTGTTGACTAGTGATGGACATTTTAAGCTATGGAATAGTATTCGTTAGTTTTCTAAAACTATTCAAATAGACTATCGAATAGTTTTAAAAATTATTTAGAGCATAATTTTTATATGATATATTTACATGTTATTATTTTATATAAGCATAAAAATGTGCTTCATACATCAAAGAAAATGTTTTATATTTATATAGCCTCCTTAGTGTTTGATCATACTTAAACCAATATTGATTTTGCGTTTCATATATGAATTATCCGCCATCTTTGAATTATTTTTTAATGCATACTTATTAAATTAATTACATAAGTTTACCTTTATATAACCTTTATCTCCATAAATATAAGCAGAATTATCTTGAATCATTCTTGTATCTGTTGATATAGTTGCTAATTTTCCGTTTGAATATCTCAGGATTGCTATTACGGCTTCGTCGATTCCATATTGATTTAAAATGCCTTCGCTAAAAATTGAAATTGGTTTTTCGGGACCATATATCATATTGACCAAATGAAGAGGATAAACTCCAAGGTCTAATATAGATCCACCTCCTACCTCTTTTTTCCTAAATCAAATAAGACATTAAACCAAATAAATCAACTATTAATGGTATTGTTTATTAAAAACAAAAGAATTATGTAAAAAATAACAATTAATGAAATACCATATAATTATAAGCTTTAATTAATACGTTAAATATAAATACACTTTGTTATAAGTTTACTCAGTATACAAGATAATCGATACTAGTAAGATACTCATTTTCTCAAAAACTATTGAGAATTTTTAATTTTCATAATGAGAAAAAATATCAGGTTCATAAAATTCTATAATAATAGGTAATTAAATCATTATTTTAATTAGTCCCCACGAGGATAAAAATCCTTATTTATAATTTTCTTAAACAGAAACCCCTATTTTTAACACGCTTCTATTAGTTTCACGTGTATGTTTGTTTGTTGTTTGTTGTTTGTTTGTAAGTTTGTAACTCCACGCGGCACGTGTTATTATGTCGCGTATCCCGTCGTGTATGTCCTTGAGACTATACTGTTGTAATGCATTCGCCCCACCCCGCTCACCACTCGTAGACAACAATATTTTCTAACCCGTAGACGCGCGCGTGTCATCAATTATGTATATATATAACGACTCGTGCCACCTTTATCAGCCGTCGCCCTATTATGAGTATTTGACTGACCAACACCTCGCGTTATACGCCGCTGTGCAAAGTCCAGCAAGCGCNTTTTACAAATTGTTATAAAATTTGGATGTCAAGTAAAAATTTAACATTGATTTGTTTTATAATACTGGTGGCAGCAATAATCTATTTCTATTATTATAATAATCTATTATTAGTAACAATGTATTGGTGGTATCTCTTATATAGATAACTGACATGGAAAATTTTTCTTGATAACTATCATAATAAATTATGATATTATAATATCATAAAATATATACATTTCTGGGCTATCATATCAGTTATTGCTGTCATAGTGGTATCAATAATACCGGTTGCCATGACATCAGTATTATAAAACCACCAAATCAATGATGGATTTTTACTCATAATAGTAATTGTTTTTGAACCTAACTCCTTACTAAAAGGTTGGTCAGAGTGACAAATAAAAAAAAAAATACATATATTATAACATTAACATTACTAGACAATGATATATTTGGTTTTCTATCAATTGTAATTACTGGTTCTAATAACTCTTTTGATACTGAAACCATTGACTGATCCGCCTCGTATTCTTGAAGTCTATTGGCTGTAGTCTTGACAAACGCGACCAATCCCTCAAGCTGAACACTTAATGCATCAGAATAATCTGACATTCATCAAGATCAATTAAGGTGTTCATACGCATCATCTTCAACCAAAAAGGCCCTCCACAGTTGTTCAATGCTGTCACCTAAGACTATAAATTAATGTGCCATATCCTGTCCGCGATAGCTCCTTGGGTAGCGGTATGCATAGCCTGAATTGGGCTCGCATGATCAGCACACTTCACTTTTATCTGATCCGTAATCGGGATTATAATCTGTAGATGCCACAAAGGCGTCTTAAATGACTGGATTATCGCTCAAAATAACTAATTTTTTTTTTCAATCAAATAACGTATGTAATTGTAAATGACCAGTTCAATTAAACACTAATAAAAGAAACCACCCATCAACGACCGTAATTACTTTAAGAAACAAATTACTAATAATTAATTCAATAAATAATTAAATAATATTTTTCTTAACAATGAAAATTGTCGCACAATTCATCCAACACATTGAAAAAAAAAATGTTTAATTATTTTTTTTCTGCGTATCACACAGTGCTAATAATTTTGCTAATATTCAAAGAAAATAATAAAATAGTTTTAATTAAAGAAAAAAAAAAATGTAATTAATAAAAATGCCACAAGCGTATAATCCATTAATGCACATGCGCGATCATCTCTCAAACTGTAACTTAATTATAAAAAACAAATAAAAATAAGTAAAAAACATAATGTATAAGGTCAATTATTACAAACAATAAGAACAATAAAAACAAGTTTCCTTACTTACTGAACACCTTATATATTATTTGATATTAGGCCAAAAACGGTTGATGATAAACTTGTAAACATTTTTTGGATTCAAATTAGTGATAGGCATTTTCGAATATTTTAAACTATCGAATAGTTTATTTTTAGCATAAACTATGGAACAGTTTTAAAAACTATTCGAATGGGCTACCGAATGGTTTAAAAAAATATTCGATTAGTTCTACCTAAAATTTTTATTAAGTACACTTAATAAAAATCTTAATTATTATAAGAAGATAATTTTTATTTAAAACCAAAACACTAAAATTATAAAATTATTATTAAAAAAAAAAAAACAAATGCAACCATTTAATATGATCATTTTATAATGATAAAATATTGTAAGAAAAGAAAATTATTTTTTCATAATAAAAAGTAGTTTGAAAATATTTGATTATCGTTATGAAATTTAGGTATAATATACAATTTTTTGATATTAATATCATTATCTGATTTGGTGATATACCATAATCTGATTTTTACAACAAAGGCCAACAAAAAAATGGTCAAAACATTTAAGTATTAAATTTAATTTTTAAATATTATTTTTTTTTTCGATATAATATTATTGAAATTAGGTACAATATCGATATCCAAAAATATATCGTTGAAGAACTCTAGAATTTATTCAATGTCATCCTATCCATACAGCGTTAGATTAAGTTCAAAGATCAAATGTGTCAACATCAACAACCAATTAATTAATATTCAAAAATATAAAATTGAGGCATACATTATTTCAATCAAAAATAGTAACACGACATTTGTTCATCGCTAGACACACTACCGACAGTCATTTTACTGCCACAATTATTTCTGTGTTCAACCGGTACATGCTATCAATATCGATTGATGCGAAAAAGCCTGCTGTTTTGAACAATAACGACAGGCCAAAAATTAAAAAAATTCAGTACTTTCTGAGAAAATGAGTGTCCTAACAGATTTTGATCACTATGTATAAGTGTTTTATCTAAATTAGTAAACTATGCTACACAAATGTCGCACAGAAAAAATATTTTAATGTATTCAACAAATTGAATTAATCTAATAAATTGTAGCCAAATAATTGAAATATTATATATCAAAAGAAGAATATATTTTATCAGTATATATACAGAGTGATTTTTTTATCATAATCCACTCAATTACTTGCAGAATAATAATAATTTAAACATTTTTTTTTTTTTTATTAGCTTTAGTTACACATTATTCTTGAATTTTTAACTATGTAATACTTTTTAACTTCATCCCTTATGCATTGGTCAACTTTGTTTTTTTAAATGGTAACACATATTTTTAATTTAATAAAATGTTTGAGTTTTTAATTTAATAGTAAATGACATTTAAATTTTTAATATAACTGTATTAACTTATTAGATATAAACATTTAAAGTTTCAAAATTTTGAGTTAATATACATGTATAATACACATGGGATTGTAAATACATGTAGATAATTGGATTTTTATAACATTGCTGTCTCAGTCACGGATTGTTTATTATCAATTATGATTATCAATAGATATACTTTCTGTATTGTCTGTTAGTGTGTTTATAAACTCATAACAATGTGCCTTACTACAATTGATAATAACAATGCTGTGTACCTGCTAATATCGATGTCATAAAAAATCAATTAGCTACCTGTATTTGTAATCCCTTGTGTATTATACCTATATATTAACTCAAAAATTTGAAACTTTAAATGATTATATCTAATAAACGAATTAAGTTATATTAAAAATTCAAATGCCATTTACTATTAAATTAAAAACTCAAACATTTTATTAAATTAAAAATATGTGTTACCATTTAAAAAAACAAAGTTGACCCCCNTGTTACCATTAAAAAAAACAAAGTTGACCCCCTTCCAAGGCATAATGGATGAACTTAAAAAGTATTACATAGTTAATAATTCAAGAATAATGTGTAACTAAAGATAATAATAAAAAAAAATGTTTAAATTATTATTATTCTGCAAGTAATTGAGTGGGTTATGATAAAAAAATCACCCTGTATATATAAAAAAAAATCCCTTAGAGGACGATTGTTCCGTTACTTTGGGTCACGGCACCCCGTGTAACACTAAAGCGAGTTATTTTAATGTAATATTCATAAGGTTAAAATAATTTCTATTCCATCAAATTCATAATGTATAAATAATAATATATGTGAAAATTACATAATTCGTTCGACACCATTTATTGGAACTCCAAAATTAGCTCTTACATTCAGAACATTTCCTATAGTTCCTTTTTGTATTTCATCAAAAACTCTTTCGTAAGCTGGTGTAAAATAACTCCACATAGCTTCCATTAAAAACAAGTTTTTTTGTTTGGATATCTAAATCAAAATGTAAATATACTATGTTAATCAATAGTGTTTAATTTTATTAATTTAGGTAAAAAAGAATATAGCTTAAATATTCTTTTTGACTATAAAATATTCTAATGCGTTTTTTGAATATTATTTTTTTATTGATTATTACTCACAAAACGCAAATTCTTTAGATAATATGAAGCAATTGTTCAAACTTAGAATCGATGTCATTTTTGAGTAACAGAGTGTATACATATTAACAGTTATAATACTTATAACTTCAAAAAATTTAATTTAAAAAAAAAATACATTTTTAATTTTAAATAATATTAGCCGCTAGTGATAAATTCTTATTATATTTATAATTATTGATAATTGATAGTTATTATTTTATTTATCTTAATCATAATTCCGTAATTACCTCAATCAATTCTTTTAATTGTTTTATATTGATACAAAAGGGTTTTTCGCACAATACATGTTTACCATGTTCTAACATTAATTTAGTGAGTGAGTAGTGTTGATGATTAAGTGCACCAATATAAACTATTTCTGTTAAGACATGATAATTAAACAATAATTTCTGAATTTATCGATTAAAATTTATAAGATGTACTTACCAACTCCAGGATCTTTAGCTAATAATTCATACGAATCATAATGAACAAGAATTTCATGTTTTTCAGCAAATGCTTTTGCTCTTTGTTTGTCTTTAGCAGCTACTGCTAAAACTTTATGATCTTCAACGGGTAAAGTATTCAACGCCAAAACGAAATCATTAGATATTTTTGAAGCACTAAGAATTCCCCATTTCGTTGCCATTCTAGTATTTTGTTTGTTTATCAGATTTATATTTGAAACCTCATAAACTAAATAAAGTAATTAATATAATGATGAGCTAAATATAAAATATAATAATATATGAAATAAATATAAATGTATCTAATTAACTTATCATAAACCACTAATTAATAAAGAAATAGAATAATATTGATAATATTTTTATTGGTATATTTTAGTTCGATGTTTAAAGAAGAGCTACATATAAAATACAAAAACATTTTAAACATTTTTTTGAGATAAGTTGAAATAAACATGTTTTACCAAAAATGTTTTTTTAATTAATATTTTACAAACATATTATGTTAATTAAATTTTATTATTTCTTTTTAATCGAGTATCTTTTAAGTTAGTTCAAATAAAACAATATACATTGTGAAAACTTATTAACGTTTGTGTTTCTGAATATTGTTATAATTTTCTTTTAATGTACAATTGTATGATTTTTTTTTTTTCATAGAGACTGTGTTAAAGTAGAAAACACTGTTTGTATGTTGTNTGTATGATTTTTTTTTTTCAATAGAGACTGTGTTAAAGTAGAAAACACTGTTTGTATGTTGTTAAAAAAAAATTGAGATATGTTTGTACAAGAAATGGTGGTAAAGCTATTTAAAAAAACCCAGCACAGTGATGACGTGTATAGTTGGGACAAGTATATATGATATCTGATAGTATTAAAATCACTTTCATAAAACACTTCGATACAAATCTGTAGATTTTTAGAAAGAGTCGTTAAATTCTCCAAAAAGGAACATCAACTCCTATTTTCTTAATTATGTCCTCATTACAAGTTATACGATTTATATGTATAATACATTAATGATAACATACTATAAGTTTGAAATTTTGTATGAAATTGATATTTAATATTTAATATTGTAATTATTAAACTGGCTAATAAAATAAAAAATGATCTAATTAAAAAAATGACTAATCAATAACAACTTTTAACTTATAATTTCGAAAATTATAACTAAAAAAATTATTAAGTACAATTTTTAGCTTTGATCCGAATCTGAGAATATATTAATTTTACTATATTTTTTTTAAATATCTGTCGGCCTTTTTTCACAACTCTTACCGGATTGATTTCTTTCAACGATACATCAAAATATCACAAATAATAATAAAGATATTGCCCTCAAAAATTGAAAACATTTCCTTTTTTCCTTGTAAATAAGGAAAATATTCAAAACAATTACAATATTCAAAATCAGTAAATTTTGGACATTTTAAAATTTTTTTCTTAAAATTCATAATTTTTTGAAAAACGAACGAATTGAAATAATTTTTTTTATATAAATACCTAAGATATTTTTTTTTCTTTTGGTATAAATATTTCGAAATTTAATTCTTTAGCTGCCCAAAATTGGGCTTCAAAGTTAATACTTTTGGATTTAAAGTTAATATTTTCAACTTAAATTAATGTGAAAATGGCTATCGTAATTTTTTTTAAAAAAAGGCTATTATTTTTATATAATAACCTAAGGTATTTTTGTTTTTTTGTTGCTATAAATATTTCTAAATTTGAATCTTTAAATGCCCACAAGGTATTTATTACGTATACGAAATAGAACTATAAAAAGAAAATATATTTACATAACATTACAATAAAGTGAAAAAAATGTTGTATATTATAGAGTATTATTGTTTTTTGTTGAATATTTAAATAATTTTTAATTAAATAACTAAAAAAGTTAGCCATCAGAATACCTATAAATAAATATTTGGATAATATAATAACCAAGGTTAATTTATTTAACTTGATAATAACAATTAATAATTGTTAAATTATTATGATAATAAAATGATTCACATTACTGTATCAGTGTGACCACAGGCGCAGTTATATCAGAAATTACAATATTGTCTTAATGCTGTACTGACGGCACCAACGACAAAAAGCCGTTATCAAATTCAATTTTATAGTTATAAAATTTAGATTTACCACAAAACTTGATATTCTTATTGTGATTTCAGCTTGTTAATGTTTTCTGAATACCTTATATGCAATCGCTGTTTGAATCCAAAAAGAATTTAAATTTGAATACATTTTAGTAAGTAGTATTTGATTATTTTAGCATAAAAGATTTTTATCAAGAAGTTTAATACCTAGTAATTTAACTTTTATTTATAACTCGGAACTATTAGATTATCACCAATTTTTATGAAAGTATTTCAGATCATTTTAAGGAATTTTTACTGGGTGGAACTATTTATTGTGATGTATAAATGAAATTTTGACAAACTATGCACTAGAAAAATACAAATAAATATGCCAAAGTTACAAATTCCTAGCCCTAATTATGTATGCTATTGTATTTGATATTCTTGAAAAAAGTGTGTTCTTAAAAGAAACCAAATAAAAAATTCTCAGTATTATTTTTATTTTTTGATTAATTAAACAAAATTAATAGTTTATATAAATATTGATAAGTATTATGAAAAATTTAACATAGAGGTGTAATTCATAAATGCCTATAATGTTATTAAAAATTTTATATTTATAAATAATTTAGTATTGTTAGTTGTATTCATATAAATATATATATTTTATTTTTCAGAATTTTTAATATGGCACCAAAATTGACTGTGGCATCTAAGCGTAGACCTGTTCAATCACATTCTAATATTTACATTAAAAAAATGAATCATTATATGCTTGTAAATTCACGTTTACGTAAACGTATAATCCAATATTCTAACCTAAATAAACAGTTATCTGGTACTAGAAACAGTTTATTGTTACAAAATATGGCATTAGAAAAAGAATTGAATTCTGTGAGAAACTCTAATGTAACTTTGACTGCTTTATATCAAATGGTTTGTAAAAAACTACATGAACTAGAACAAAACTTAAAAAATTGTCTGCCAGCAATAGTTACTTTATCGCAATATTTTCCAAGTATGATGCAAACTGTTCATGAATTAGTAAAAATTGAAAATCAACCAATCAATGGCAATACCAAAGAATCTCAAACTAAAACGGTACGACCTATTATGAGAGGAAACACTATTAATAATCCTATTGCATCAAATAATAAATTAAGTATGTCCCCAATTATTGAAAGTCCCAATTCTGAACAAACACCAAAACGTCTTAAAAGATCAATTAGTTTTAGAAATTCACCTCAGCATAAACTTAGTATTGAACCATATGTGCGTTTAAAAGATGTTGCTCAATTATTAAAAAATTCCAAATCTGTTGATAATGAAAGAAAACCAAAACAATCTATTATACCAAATGATGGATCTATTTGGTTAAATAATCAAGAGAGCCCAAATTTATTTGAAAATTCTAAATGTTCAGAAAATTGTGATAATTCAACTCCAAAAGTAAACAATTCATTTGATGATAAATTCACTGTAACTGCATCAGTATCTAACACTAGTAGCAACTTTTGTCACTCTATATTAATTAGTGAAAATGAAAATAGTCATGATAATGAACAGCTTTCTGAATCTTGTATTCTAAGAAACATAACTTATCGAAAAAGACAAAACAGAAGATCTAGTGAGACAAGTAATAATTCTAGTGTAAATGATTCAATAACTATTCATAGGACAAGAAGATCAGCAACAAGTAAGGTAAATTACAAAGAACCTTCACTTGGAAAAAAACTTAGAAGAAATTGATTTAAATGAAATTTATTGTAATTAATAACTAAACTTTCTTGTAAAAAAGGATACTTAAACATTAAATAGTGATAAATTGTTTAAATGATTAGTAATTTTACAAAAAATAATGTGGAATTTTATGTCTTTTCGTAAAAAAAAACTGATTTATAAATAACTGTCTATATTTTATTTTTAAATTTTATTTATATGAGATATCATTTTATGTTTATATTATAATAAAATATTAATTTTGATTGTAACCTTCATTTTTTTAAAATCTTTGTCATATTTTTGATGATATAAAATAACATTATTAATCTCTGTATAATTGTAAAATAATTTTGCGAATGACTTATATTTATACCTAAAATTTTTGTGTGCATTCATTAAATGTTATTTATTACAGATTAAAATTCGTCATAAAATAGAATAAAAAAATGATATATTTTACAAGGAAACAAAATAGAGTTAAGTTCATATAAATATAGACTAAAGATCATTAATAATATTAAGGTTATATAATGAAGTTATTGTCCAATTAAATTTTTTATAATTTATGGATTTCTTTAATTTTTTTTGTAATCTCAAATTATTTTTCTATTAATTATATATTTAATAATATATAAATATAGAAAATTATACATATAATTTTATTGGATAGTTCCTTTTATCTTGTTTTCTATTTGTAATAATTTATCATAAATTAACCTTTGGTATATGGTATACAAGTAAAAATAACAGTTTTCAAGAAAGGCAAACTAATAATTATTGTATAATGTAACATTGAAATAATTTCACTACCAAAAGTCTATTTTGTTAAACTTAATAATATAAGATGTGTTTTTCTACTTAATTACTGAAAACCTTTAAATAACTTAAATTTCTAAGAGAGTTACCCCTCTTCAATGTTCAACTAAATAAAAATTTTGAGTAAAAAATTAGGTCGCAATTTTTATTTTTATATTAGTTTTGCCATTGAAAAATCTTGGATACGCTACAGCTTAAAATCATATTTTATATTGTTTTTTGTTATAATTTTTAACATTTAATTTGTAATATCTTATAAACCAGTTTGTTTTTTATTATTGAAATTTGTTTATAATAAAATACCTTAATATGCCTTTCAAATTTTTAGGATTTTTTAAAAAAAATTATTTCTTGCCAAAAAAAAAAAAGAAATTATAATTAAGAGAGAGACAATTGGTACAATTTGGAAAGGTGGCTTCAACCTTTTTGTTATAAACATCTCCCTTCTAAAATAAGAAAATTACATAGTAATTTTTTTAAAGGGGAAGAAATTAAGGTATTTCTTCCAAACATTTTGTTCCTCAATAAAAAATATTAAATATGTTCCTAAATACAATCACAAAAAATGATCTTTATTATTAATATAAATTTATAATTATCTCAATTTTAACGAAATCCTCTTGTTGAACTCACAAAAAGGGAGTTCAATAGTAAAGAGCTAGGAGCAAAGACATGTAAATTTATATAATACTATAAAAAAGCTTGTATTACGTTTTGTTAAAAATTTTCTTTTTATTATTTAATTTTAGGGTTTGTTCTTTGGTCTAGTACTGGTTCATGGGTGATTTCCCCCACGACAAAAATAATTACTAAGATACAGATATTTTCATTTGGAAAGGAAGTAACAATTTTTTTATGTATATTAACCCCCAAGTTGAAAACCTAATTACGCCAATATCTCAAATCTTGTCTAGGTGAATCAATTATTACTTTTAAATAAGTATACGTTCCAATACACTTAGATATCTGTTTAGTTAAGGTAAATGATATTTTAATTAGTGCGATTCAATTAGTTTGAATTTTAAAGAAAACTATGTAGATACTGTTGACACCTTTCATCAATTTTTTATTGAAAGTAATAGACTTTAATTTGGTATAATTTAATTTGAATAAATTAAAGGAATTGTAAGCGACGTAATGTTATGATAATGATATAGATAATATGTTATGTGGTATCTATGATTCACAGTTTAACAACTCACCAAAGATTGGACCAAGAATCCACCTTGACAACACTACACCACAGAATAGATTAAACCAGAATGGACACTGATAAAAAAATTACACGTATTCTTATGAGAGTACGGTAATTTTGAGCTTATGTCGCTCAGTGTTACCATAAAAACAATAAAATAAAAAATTGTATGTATATAATTCATTGTACTGTACAATAATTGTACATCGGCGGTTGATTTGAACTCTAAATGTATTATTTACATGCTAATTATTTTAGAAAATTTGCATAGTAAATATTTTGGATTTATTTTATTATTATTTCTAAACATATAACACCATTTTAAAACTTTCAATTAATGTTTTCATTATGTGTAATTAGTTTGTTTAATATATTTTTTATTTTATGTATATTTAATAAAGACTTATTTAAAAAAAAAAAAATTATTCAATATCCACATAATATTAAATTTATTTAAAACATATATTACAATAATTTACAAATATCATATACATTAATAAATAATTTATAGATGAGTTAAAATAGACAATTTCCTATTTTAATATTTTATATATTAAGAGCTAATTATTTGATTTCATTTGAATACCTATATCCTTTTGGTTTTCGATTTTTGTTTTCAATTTGTGATTTCACCAATAGACATATAGTTGGTGAGCAGTATTTTTCACAGACTTTCAGACAGGTCATGATGGAATAATCTTCAGCTAGTTCAGGATTACAACTTATTACTGACTCCAGTTCTTTTCTTCTTTTTGTTTCTGCGAAGAGCTCTTTCCTAAGTGACATTTTCCGTGGAGTTAGATCTGTTAGAGATGATGGAGTTTGACAATGGGTAGAACTCATTTCTACTGATGTCGAAGTGGATACATCCGACACAGATATCGTTGAATAGGCAGAGGATGTATCTAAAATAAAAATTAAATAGATATTGTAATAAAAAATTAAATAGTATTATAATATAATAATCAGTCTAATTAAGTATTTATAAATTATTTTAGAAATAGCTAAAGTTATAAGTAAAAACATACCAGGTGTTGAACATGATGGCAAGCACTCCACTGTTTCATTATCATTATCAGCAATAGTTTTAACAGCCTGTTCCTCTTTGTTTAATAGTGCATCTTCAAATAACGTTGGAATAGCATCAGGTCTAAGACGGTTCTGTTTTTCATTTCGAAACATACAGTTTTCAAAATGCAATGAACACAACCGATAATTTTTGTTCAAAACTGCTGCATCAATTCCTTTGAGATGGGACAATCCACATTTGTCAATCCAAACTTCACACCTATACAATAAATAATAATTTAATATTTCAATTAATTGAAATATATTTTATAAATGCTAAACAAATTACTTACCTAGAAGGATCCTTAGGAAAAGAAAAATGACTTACTAATGCCGGATCTACTTCTAAACTTTTGCAGTTTTTTATTGAACATTTAAGTATTTTTCGTTTTGCAGTTAAAAAGTAGTCCATTGCAATTGAAAAATTAAAACTACAGCAAGTGATAATCACTAGTCAAAATATAATAGCAAAACTCACAACAACGGTGAACGGAACACAACACACATGAAGCGCAGACAAACCACAATTCACGAATGATCAGTGCGTCGCTACAGATTTATGACATGTGTAGGCGGTTTGTTTACCAATAAACCATGTTTATAAACATTGTGTTTACAAACAAACCATTAATAATGGTGTTGAACAATGTGACCGTATGTAAAGAAAAAAGG